CTTTCCTCACCACAAAATCATTCTCTTACGGTTGCTAATTAAAGCAGACTTGCCAGGAATGGTGTCCCAGAGTAGTTGTGAAACTGCTCAAGTGAACAACTGTACATGTTGAAATGGATTTGATTTCATCAAATGTCAGGGGAAAAAAAAAAAAAAGAAAACAAAAAACAAACCAGCAAACAGAACTGAGGCATTCCTAACAAAAGCTTTTAAAATCATAGAAGATAAATGGAGAGCTAATACAATCATTTCAGTCCCTTTAGACTGGAAAGTAAACTAAGCATTACTAGCCAAGTGCAACTTGATCTGTTAGCCAGATGACCATGCTTCTGTATTCGTGTTGTGTAAGGATGTTTTTATTCAAATGGGAGAGTGAACAGTGGTGGTGGTTCTCTGTGAAAACACAGGGTTAATCTCAAATTGTCAAGAGCTCCTTATTGCAGCATTGGCAGCACACTGATATTTGTTCTGGAAATTAAGTAAGGGATCCTGATTTAAAAATATTCTGAGATCAGTGAAAACAGCATTGTTTTGGTGCCTAGAAGTTCTCCTTAGACCTGGACTCATGAGGGCCAGATGCCATACAAACACAGAACAAGAAGACAAAACCCTGTGACAATTTAAGCATTTATCTGCAGGACTACTGCAAAATAAAAGCTGGCATGTTTCTTTCTGAAGCGGAGGGGTCATCCCATGGCCAAACCTCTTCCAGCTGCTACTTTGATACAACAATAATAAACAAATGTTTTCTCTACCGTTTGACATTTAATCACTATTTTTAAACAAAATGAAGCATGAAAAATAGTACAGAATTATCACCAGAAAACTTCACCTGCCTTTTGCAGTGCTTCCCAGGAAAACCTGGCCTAAAACTTACTTAAGCAGAGAGTATAATTACCAGGGGGGGATAAGAACTGCCCAGAGTAGTGTTTCTGGAGCTCTCAGAAAAGTGTAACCATTGGGTTGTGCTGGTGCTTCCTGAGTGAAGGTAACAAGGGAAAAATTTGCAACATAACAAAACAAGTACGAGATGTAGCTATGCTATAGTATTGTTTGAACGGTTCTTCATTATATAGTGTTTGTGATGTGTAGAGAAAAGAAAATTCCACCGTGTTACTGTTCTAATTTTTCAGCCTTGAGACTGCTAGGTCCTTACTGTCTCTAGTTTTGACAACCAAGTTTTCTTCTCTTCCTTTTCCATTTTCCTTGCATTTTTTAATTTAACTTTTCCTTTGCTTTCCATCATCTCCTTCCTCTCCATTCTTTTTAATTTTTTAAAGAAATAACCAAGAGCTTAGTATGAGAAAGAAAGAGTCTTTTAAAAATCAGGCAGGTGAACTCAGTCTGAGGATCAGATCTGCAACCGTTAAAGTCTTTCTACAGTTTGTGCTGTTAAGGTATTTCAGCAGAATCTCTTTTTTTTTTTTTTTATTTCAGAAACTTCTTACTTTGATTCCACCATGGAAGGAGTTCAGTTGGCCACCAAGGATTTTAAAAGTGAGGAATAACCTGGAAGAAAGTAACCACTGTAGATTTCTGATGTGAATCTTTGGCCATCTTCCCTCTCAGCCCCCTGATGTCAACCTCTCTGTCCATGCAATAAAAATTAAAATTGAGACAACTTTGTTGTGTGTGGCAAAAGGACACGTTCTGAAGCCATTTGGGATTTATATCTTCTCAGTACATCCTAGAGTGTGGTATGAAGAGATTGAGAGACCAGTAAGCAGAAAGGAGGTGTCTGTTGGCGTGAGGTGTGAGCTTCAGTCTCTGGTTTTTAATGCACTTGTATCAGGAGCTGATATGTTGCCGCATGAACTGGTGCATGAACTGGTAGTGACGCCTACCTGCAGGGAAAGGTGCCTGTTATGTGTCTTTCTTACCCTACTTCTGCCTTTCATCTTGTCAGTCATAAGTACATCCCAGTCTCTTCACAATGTCAAGTGAAAAAAGTCTTCATCAGTCGCTCCTATTCTTTCATCCGGAGGTGCACAACTTACCTTGTTTTCTCCTGAGACCAGGCTCAATGCTTCCCTTCAACTAATCTCATTTGGGACTAGAAATAAGGAGAAAATGTCACTATAGATGTGATTCAAACACAGTAGAGGAAAGATATGTGTGGTTTGTGGTAGACTGATAAGACCTATAACTAGCATTGATAATCAGTGATTTGATGTTTCTGTTAGTAGTATTCCTTTAATTTTGCTCATATAAATGTCTAGGTAAGTTCCACAGAGGTATCAGAAAAGGTGGAAATACTTACATGTGTAGAGTGAGCTAAACTACAAGGTAATGAGTTTCATCTCATGTTTGTAAAACACAGTTTCATGTTTGTTTGGAGTTTTTTGTGTATGATATTTTTTGTTAGTTTGGGTTTGGATAGGTTGGTTGCTTTGTTTCTTTTTCCCACGGTGTGATTGGATTCATCTATGTTGTTTGTTTTTTTTTTTTTGTTGGAGTGTTTTTTGGGTTGGTGTGGTTTGGGGTTTTTTTTGTTTGTTTTTTTTTGTTTTGTTTTGGGTTTTTTTTGTGGAGGCTGTAAACAGTGCAAAGCTTTTCCACCAGCTCTGTACCACTTTTGCTTTTCTGGAGAAGCACATCCATAAAATGTTGCGACACGTTACGTGCTTTTATCTTTAAAGCGGTGCTGATGATTCCGGGGACTGGAGTGCGGAGGGCAGGCCCAGTTCACGGTCCGAGGTGGCTGGCACTTTCACCTGCAGAAGGACATGACTGTAACCACAAACAGGAGGAGGAAAGCAGAAAGCGAGGGCTGTGGTGGCATGGACCAGAAAGAGAAGGTGCCTGTGGGCACAGGAGAGGATCACAAAGGATAGGTATTTATGAGAGAAATCACTGAGTGCTTGATGAAATAGCAAATGATGAAGGTGTGTGTGGGGGGGCAATAGAGAATGGAGGGAGCTGAAAGGACAAATCAAATGACACCTAATTAAGTTAATAATTAATCAGGAAACTAATCAGAGCAACCTTTGTTAATTATAAGACATGCATAAGGCTGGAAATTTCTTTGTATTAAGAGGGAGTGACAGAAAAGACAACTATCACCTCATGGTGAAAAGGGTGAGAGAAAAGATCAGGAAGAGGAGAAGCAAGGTTGTGTGTGCTTATCAGAAACTAGTATTTCCCAATTCCACCTGCCTTCCAGATCCAGAATATTTATCCATTTATTCATTCATCTCCTCTTCCTCATCTTGTCCTGCACCCTTCTTGTTGTGCATCAGCTGAAGAGCCAGTACCTGGCTGCAGTCATGATGAAGCTCCACCATGGTCTAAACTGCCGATGTGTCCCCACTCTCCAATTAAACAGATACTGTGTATACTGTCTAAGCAGTTAAAGATGTATGTATTTCTAAATTAATATTGTCCCATTGGCAAAATTCACTGGCTGCACTTTTTCCATGCATTTCTCATGTACGTGTGTGATATTTCTTTTTTTTTCTCCTTTCCTTGGTTGGAAATGTGCTGCTCCTCTGCCGAGCAGATTATTATGCAAAAATGTAATGGGGAAGAGGAAGGTAATTCATGTTGGCCATAACCGCAGCTTCAGACTTACCTGAGGCATCAGTGGCAATGGAAAAGTTAGATTTCAAGAAAATGCCACTCAAGGGTTAATATTTTCTTCCTACTTTTATTTATTGGGAGAGAAATCTGAATGCCTGTATTTTCTGTTACTGAACACTGACCTTTCAGAATGGTTAAAATAAAAGCAGTTTTCAAAATCTCACAGTATTCTTGTATGGACAAAAGATATTTAATCTTTTAGTAAGGTGTTGCCAGTTTAAGTTCACTGAAAAAAACAAACAAAAAAAAACCAACAGCAACAACAAAAAAAAAAAAAAACAAACCAAAACAAAACAACTGGTATCTTTGAATTTCAAAGTTTATGTATCTTCTTCCCTGCCACTTTTCCCCCCCCCCCCACTGCTTCCAGCTAGCATTGGTGTGCCACATCCCAGGGAGCTCAACTTTCTCCTGGTACGTGAATACTCTCTTTAGCACTAACTGCAGACTTCAGAACCGAAAGTTTCGGTGTTGTAGTTCAGCGGTGGTGTGTCCCTGAGCCATACGTGGGGCTGGTACCCGGGTATGGCCCCGAGAGGCAGAGCGGGATAGCACACCAGCTATTTTAATTATTTTGGGGTTTATTGGCAACTATCCTTTCTTTGGCTTGTGTGGTGATCAAATTAAAGCAGATTAGATTTTCTTTAGGGGAAATAAATCTTGTTAAACCTGCTATAGTTTCTCACGTGATAATATGTTTGAAAAAAGGTAAAGTTGACGTAGTGAATGTGATGCACAGGGTCATTTATGCAGTGCAGGGTAGTTATTTAGTTATATCTGCTTGGAATCCTTGTCTGGATTTTTTTGGGGGGGTGGGTTGGTTGGGTTTTGTTTCTGTTTTGTTTTTAGTTTTTATTTTGGTTTGTTTTTTTGTTTGTTTTGGTTTTTTTGTTGTTGTGTTTTTGTTTGTTTTTGTGTTTGTTTTTTTTGTTTGCTTTTGTTTTTGTTTTTGTTTTGTTTTTTTTTTTGTTTGTTTTTTTTTTTTTTGTTGGTTGGTTGATTTTTTTTGTTGTTTTTTTTTCCCGGGAGTGGATTGGGGTTTTGACTCCAATAGCTCCATCACTGTCAAAAAAAAAAAAAGAAAATAAAAATAAGGAATTAAAAATCAGTCTGTATCTGGGGTACTGTAGATAGCTCCACTCTTCTGAAGTCGATTTGGTGATTCCCTTTCTTGGATACCCTGTAGTTCACAGTACATACGGGCGGCAGATGGGGCTGAATATTTTCAGCCCTGGCGTACGTTCTGCTGTCTTTGAGCACTTGGGAGATTAATCTTGATTTAAAACAATTAAAGCACCTATCTTGGGCTTCACGTTCCGGCTGGAAAGCCACTGCCGTAACTGAAGGGTTTTGCTGTGCGAGCCCCAAACGCGCGCCCCTCCCGCCGCGTTTCTCCCTGCGGCAGCTTGCCTTTCCGCAGCGGAAGAACCTCGGCAAGCGAAGCTCCCAACCGCCCCCCCCCCCCCCCCCCATCGGAAAGTGAAGACCCCAAACCCCAACCCCGCCGAGGGGACGCGACTTTTCACCCCCCCCCCCCCCCGCCGGGCGCCGCCGGGCCCGGCTGCTCCCGCCGCGCCCCCCCCCCAATCCCCGCTGGGGCCGCGCCGCGCTGAGGCGGGCGGTGTGTGTGGGGGGGGGGCGGAATGGATGAGCGGCTGCTCCGGGCCCTGGGGGGGCTCAGCCTGCACCCCCCGCGGGCCCGGTTCGGCGGGAGGTTGGTGCTGCTGCGGGGGCTGCCGGGCTCCGGGAAGAGCACCCTGGCCAGGTAAGGAGGCGGCTCCCGGAGCCCTTGGCCTTTCGCGGCGGTGGAGGGTTTTGCCCCCTCCCTTGGGCTCCGGTCGATCCCCGCTGCTGCGGCTCGGCTGCCCCCGTGGCGGGCTCCGTGGGGCGGGGAGGGGGGGGTCCGTGGGGCGGGGAGGGGGGGGGGGTTCGTGGGGCGGGGAGGGGGGGGTTCGCGTGGCGGGGAGGGAGGTTCCGGCGGGCCGGGTGCGTGAGGGAGCCCTCAGCGTCCCCCCCGGCTCCCGCTCCGGGGCGGAGGGCGGGAAGCGTTCGCTGCAAACCCCACGAAAAAGGCTGCGGAGGCACCGGTTCGGAACCGGTTGCGGGCTCGGGAGGGAAGTGGGAGCCTCGCAGGAACCCGGGATAAGCTCAGGCGTTTGGAAACATCTGTCTTCAGAGATGGCGCAGAGCTTTATTGCTGCGACTACCTGTACCTGCTCTCTGGATATACCGCCTATAGCAGCGTGAATGTTGTTGTTTTGGGTGAGCAGTACCGAAAGGGATGTTTCTAGTAAAACGGATTAATCCCCTGAGCCACAGTAGTTGCTGTTGTTTCTTCTCTAAAAAGTGCCAGACTGGTGCTTTTTTTTTTTTTTTTTTTTTTTTTCTCCTGGTGGTTAATCACAAGTACTGTAAAGTCACTTCCTCTCTCTGACTGTGAAAACTTGTAACTCTGACTTATGTTTTCATGATGTCCTGCACTCCTGGTCAGAGCTGTAGGGGTGTATAAAATGAGCAGGGGAGACCAGCCCAATCTCCAGCAGCTCCAAGATTGATTAAAAATAGGTGGAAAAACCCAGAGGGGAGTGCTGGGTGACGGCGTCGCAGGCGGTGTGATGCAGTGTACCCGTAATCTGGTGCCACAAGACCTCGCCGTCTGGTAGCTCACAGCTCCCAGGGTCACCCCCTCTCCATGAGATGAGGAACTTTTGCTGATTTCTCGCTGTGCGTGGGTGAGGAGCCGTGCTGGGATCACAGGCTGCCACGGGAAGGGCTCTGCTGTGGAAGGCGGCAGCGCGAAGCCGTGCGATACACTGGGTTAATCTACAATTTCCTCTTTTCAGTATAGTCCTTCCTGTCACACAGCGCCTGCTGCCTCACAGGACTTCTGCAAGACCAAGTTCTTCAGTGAACAGCCAGGTGCTGTGTTTTCACTGGCACCCAAACTACGTGACCCCTTTAGGGAGAGGCATGAAGGTTCAGGCCCTTCACCTTCAGAGGGTCTTGTAGTACAGTAAGAACATGATGATGTGGGGCCATGTGCTCAGCCAGTGCAAATAACCAACACCTGTATTTTTTAGGTTAAACACAAGATCAGTTATTAATGACAGACCTACAAAGTCAGTTGTAAGTATTGTTTTTGTCCCCTGTGAGATGCATGTTTGGGGAATTTACTCTGTTTATAGCCCTTGTTAATTGTATCACTGCATTTAGTCATTCAGCAGTACAGGGATTAAAGGGCAGCTGTAAAAACGTCATTTAGTACCTCTCCATTAATTCTGTCCAGATTCTGAAAGAACTGTGCCAAGAAAAATTTGAGATCTGCTATTCCCGCATTGTGTACCTTTTGGTGTTGATAAATGCAATGTACTAAGCAGAGCAATGTTTGCAGAAAATTACTGCAGCAAAGTTCAGGGCAAGGTGCTACTGGAGGAGGAAGGTGATTATTTATTTGCAAAAGCCCTTGATAAACTCATGTTACCCATTCAAATTTATTCTCTCAGATTTTATTCACTCACACTATCACAGCTAAACACTTGCAAGCACCAGGGTGTATGTGCACAGGTAGTCTGCCCAAAATCAGAGAGGACAAAGACCTCCAGGTGTCCCATCCTCACTGTCTCTTCTGGGTTCCTCCTGGTTGGTGGTGACAGGGTGGGTTTTGGTCAGGTCTGTTACGCCATCTCGCAGCCAGCAGTTTCTATGATGCCCACCTTTTGCCTCTGAATTTTGCTTACTTGGTGCTCCATGGTTCTTAGGCAAGGGGTTTTTTTTTCCCCCGTTATTTTAATTTTTCCATTTTGGGCGTCTTTTCAGCTGCCGTCTTTCCCTCTTTTGGAACGAGGGGAGGAAGGGCCTTAGCTGAGTGCTGGCCTTTGGGGCGGTGTGTGAACAGCACCTTTCCCAGTTTTATTGCTGTTAACGATGTTCTTGGTTGTCAGCCTATATCATTGTTTTGGGCTTTCCTCTGAGGTTTCTTCTGGTGCTTTCACACACAGCTCCATTTATTCATTCATTCTTTGTATCAGCCAGTATTCTGGTTACAACTGGTGCATCTTTACAGTGCTCAGAAGTGTCACGAACTGTGACTGTTACCACTGGTGATAGGGCAACCTGGTGACAGCTCCAGCAGAAAGGCCCCTTTTCAGTTTGCTGCGCCATCCTAGGAACCTCACATCCATGACTCGTTTCCTCGACCTTTCAGTGCCACCCAGCACAGTTTGGACGCAGCTTTGTAAGGTTTAGTTACAGCATCTTCGGTAAAAATATTTCGCCATTCCAGTCGCTCCCCAGGCTCAGAGCAGCCGACACTGGTATGGATTGGTTCAGGTCTGGTTTTTGGATTCCAGTAAAGACAGCAAAGGATCCGCCTGTGTGATATATTGAGTAAGTCAAGGCAGAATGAGAGGTTGGTCTGCTCACCACCAAGCACCAAATCTTTGCACTTGTTTCACTCTTTAAGGATACTCATCCCTGAACCACAGGGTGACCCTAACGCTCTCCCTCTAACCGTTCACCGTACGTCAGCCCCAGCAGGAGCACATAGAAGAGGGGCAGCCGGGAGTCACATCTCCAGTTGCCTCCACTGGACGTATGTAACACCATCCTGAATGCATTCCCCCTGACCTCACAGTACAGATTTTGTGATCACACTGAGGCAGCTACTAAGAAAACAGTTATCTGAGCTGCAGTAGCAGGTATAGCTTCCAAAAATGTCTCAAAAAAATCAAATGAGCTGCATACAAGCTCATACGTGCTTTCCCAACACAGTAGCTGTATTTCCAGCTCTTCTACAATATGTTGCTGTGGTGCACAGCTCAGGTAACGTAACTCTCTAGTAGTTCTGCTCAAGCACTAGGCTGGGCATGGTCAAACATGGAACTTCTCAGCCACTGCTGTTGATCTATTACTGGAAATGAGGTCGTTCTTGTACTCCCCTGATGAAGCACAGAGGGAGCATTCTTCTTAGGAAGGAAGAGAAAAAGTGCACTGTTACTGAGGCATCGCTGCTTGGTGTCATCCGTGCCTTCTCCAGTTCTCCCTGCTGCTTTTGCCCAGGCTGTCCCTGCACCTCGAGCCCCGGGCCAGCCCCGCTGTTACCAGCACCCCGACCCCGCTGCGGCGTGGCACCGCTCACGGGGTTCACGGGCTTCAGCTCTGCAGCTCCTGCAGTGTAAACATTTACCTTTGTATAAAACCGCTGCAGGCGATGCTCCTGAACATGTTTGTCAAATACAACACGCAGCCTGTTGCTTTACGAAATGCAGCCGCAGCTCCAACCCCCAGGGGTGAGACACAAGGCAGGTGTGTGCTCTGCCAGCAGCGCAGGAATCGGCTGGCAGGCTCCCGCCGGGGCAAAGTCCTCGGGGCGCTACAAGTTGTTAAAACCCAGCAGACAGCTGATAGTGCTGGGCATGTGCTCCAGATCTCATAGTTCTGATTTTCTGCTGAAACTAAGCCCTTTTGAACTCCACGGGAACGCTTCGTCTTGGGAGGAGTGAGCGGAGCAAGTGGTTGCATGGGATGTCCATACATACTCGTTCTGATCTCCGTTACTTTGGAAGTAGCTTGGGAATATACCGGCTCTGAGGTCGGCCTGACGTACCGTGCTATTGCCTTCTGGGCACTGAAAATGTTTCTTCCGATGGGCTTACCAGCCTCAAATCAGAAATTAATTTATATTCTAACTTTCTGATGGAAAAACATGACAGCCTATGAAATACAGTTACCGATTTTTTTTATCTCTGATGATATTACTAGTGATCATGGAGACTTCTCCCAAGAACTCTAGTGCGTCCAGCTAATTGAAAACCTGAATAATTATTTTGTTGTCTATATGTACAGTTAAAAGCAGAAATAATTGTTTGAAAGCACTGAAAATGCTATTTAGAAAAAAGGGGGCTTAAAACCAGTATAAATCATGGCAACAGATCTTCAGATGAGTAACACAGGAGACTAAACCCATCTATATTCACTGAGACAATTGTTACAATGCAACTGTGGCCAAACAGAAACACGGCTGTATTTTCACCAGAATGGTTATCCTTTTTTAATTAGAGCAGCCATCCTAAATCTGAGCAGGGTGAGACAGCAGGTGAGTGTGCACCGACACTAGCCAAGACGCCGCATCGTTCCGAAGCGGCCTTGCTGCCCGGGCTGCCGGCGGTTGGTGTGGGCAGAGAAACTTGTGCCCCTGCAACGGCTTCGTGTTTCCAGGGGCTTTACAGGGTCCCAGGCCCTGCTGGCAGATACGTGAAGTTTGCTGCTGTTGTGTCTGAGCTGAAGAGCGGAAGCATCCGAAAGCTTTTTGACCCCAGCTGTGTCAGCCAATCTAATGAGATGTGGTACCTGGCGTGGAAATCTGCTTCGCCTTGCAGAAGGGGAAGAAAGGGCTTGGGGAGATTTACTGCAAGCAGAGGAAACATCCCCCTTCCTCTTCTTATTTTCTTATCCTTTGTATTTTCTGAAACAGCTGCAAACTTTTCTTGAGCAAGATACAGAGCATACCATATTTTGTGTCTACTGCAAGGTAGCTGTAACACTGTGCAACTAAATGTCCCAAGTAGGCAAATTAATACTGAACCTTTGACAGCTATTGCTTAGCACAATGCAGGGCTTCAAGTTCAGTACCTTTTTTTAAAAAAACACAAACATACCTTGTTTGTACCTTTTGATCTTGCAAAGAGATTTAATTTTTCTTTTCCTCCTTAGTATGCTTTACACTTAGTGATCTAATGGCAATGGGTAATTTTCTTTTTACAGTGATACTCAAAATTAATTAATATCACAAGTCCGTCCACTTTGCATAGCTGGTGTATATTTTGCTAAAATACAGGCATTTTTATTGTGTACAGTGATTAGGAGCCTGATGTGATTATGTTAAACCTTTAATCTAAACCAGCCTGGGGTGAAGTGTAGACTGTAGAAGGCTTATTTCTCAAGGAGCATACTAAAGAGGTTTGGGTGCCCTTTGAAATTATAAGGGACAGAAGAAACATGATTTTTGTCAGCTTCATGGGCAACAGGGGATTACAGAAAGTGGTCGTAAACTTTAGTGTCACTTTGGTTCTTTTAGAAGGCTAAAAGTTGAAACCAGCAAAATAAGCAGATGGTAAAACATCTTTTTCCCACTTTATGTTTTCTTATGTTGCCGTTAGTAGGACTTTGTTTGGTATGAAGAAGCAAATGTGACTGTAATTCATAGTTCTTAACACATTTTGTGCCATATTTTTATTTCTCTGAAGCACAGGTTTTACCTACTTTAATTACCAGTGATAGTAGGTAAGGATAGTAGATGAGGATAGTAGACTGATAATCACATCCTATTTAGTTTGCTAAGGGTTAACATCAAAGCTGTCGTGCAAGTGTACATATATGTGTTAAAAATTTACTAAGGTATATGCTGAGAAAATAATTTTTAAAATTTGCACTGGTTGAGAACATTTTCAAAAGAAACACTGAGCAAGAAATAAAATAATCTTGAGATCTTTTATTAATGTGTATAATTTTATGTGCCTATTAGTAGCTAAAGGGATGACACATATTTTAGCACGATCAGTTTTTCAGAGAAGAGTTTGCAATGCAGATGGGTAAAACAGTGGGAAGGGTGGCGTGCTGAATTGTAGTGAGAGCTGAATATATCAATTTATCAGCACAAGAGTAACCAGATAAGCACTAGGTACCTCCATGCTTTTGATGATAAGAATTCTTTTCCTGGGACCAACATTAAAGCAAAAATAATTTGACCGTTTGCTCACAGTTTGCAAGATGACTTTTGTTAGGTCTGTTGGCCCGGCAGTAATTACATGAATAAAACGTCATCTCTTTGGAGCTAGAAGAGAATGCCAGATACTAATGATACTCAGTGGCTACAGCCTGGTCCTGGCCAGCCCGTCAGCGGTAGGTCTCTGCCCTCTGGGGCAGTTGCTACCACAAAATAATATTAATTAATCAGCAGGTGGTAAAAGTTACAGTGGAGGTGGAACACAGTCAGCAGCTGACCTTTATTCAGATAAACACAACAAGCAGCCTAGTGAAGAATTGCTGCTAGTGGGCAGATTAGGGTGAAATTAGTAAGTAAATGGTTAGGGCAGAGCTAGAGATGACAAAATTAAGCCTTTTCTGTCTGTATGTCTGTTTTTTTGCTGATAACCTAGAGGCACCTTTTCCCTTGCTGTTGCTCAATTAGGCGAGACATTGAGAAATAGTTGTTTTGCAGTTTACGGAGTTGGAAGCGAAGCGTTTTATCAGGGAAGCTGAAATGAACCCCAGGGACTGGAGACCATGTGTGGTGTGAGGTAGCAGGGCAGCAGCACTGATGCCTGAGAGCCACGAGGTTTCTGGATTGGCTTTACTTTCTTTTTCAGAGAAATTTTGGGCCCTAGGGAAACAGAGAGTAGTGAGATGATGCTGTGGGTTCTCCCTGAACTCTTGCAGAGTCTCCCTCCTCCCCCAACACTCCCTTGATGGAAAAAATAGACAATTCTGTATATGGCCACAAATAAATCTGGATTATACACAAATGGGAGTACAATTTTGCATTAAGATTTATTTTCGTCTGATGATCCCTAAGGACTGGTAGGTATGCTTTGTATTTAAGCCACCATGTAAGGAGCATTTTTACTTCTGTTGTGGTTTGAACCCAGAGGGCAACTGAGCACCATGAAGCTACTTGCTGTCCCCTTCCATCCCGGCACTGGGAGGACAAACTGAAGCAAAAGGCTCCGGAATTGAGATAAGGACAGGGAGGGATGACTCACCCGTTACAGTCAGGGGCAAAAGACAGACTCGTTAGGGGAGGGGAAAATAACATAAATTTAATACAGACACTAACAACAACAATACTTAACAGACAAGGTAGGACAGTGAGAAGTGCCACCACATCCAAAAAACACCTCCCCCCCTCCCTTCTCCCCGGGCTCAGCTCTGCTCCCCATCTCTCCCCCTCCTCCCCCAGCAGCGCAGGGGCAGGGGATGGGGGTCACAGCTCACTGCTCCTTCCTTCTCAGGAGATGGGGTGAGCACCGCACATCCCTCCCCTGCTCCCCGGGGCTCCCCTCTCACTGAAGTCAGTCCTCCAAGAACCTTCTCTGCAGTGAGTCCTCCCCACGGGCCGCAGCCATTCCCGAGCTGCCCCGGCGTGGGTCCCCACTGCGTGTTCCAGTCCTCCCAGCGCCGAACCACAACAGCGGGGGCTGCTTCTCCCCTCAGAGTCCCGGCCTCCTTTAAGCACAGACGTCTGTCCTGGTGTGGGCTCCTCCACAGGCTTCAGGTGAGCTTCTACTCCACCGAGGACCTCCATGGGTGGCAGGGGGGCGGCCCTGCCATCTCCCCACGGGATACAGGGGTCTCTGCTCTGGCGCATCCCCCCCCCTTCCTCCTCCTTCCTTCCACTGAGCTGGGTGTTCTCATAGGTGTCCTTCTTGTAATTCCTCCTCACAACACCAACTCCTGCTCCCAGCTTCCCCTTCTTAAATACATTATCACAGAGGCGCAGTCACTGTCGCTAATTGGCTCGGCCCTGGCCAGAGCTGGGTCCGACTTGGAGCTGGGGGAGCTTCGAGAAGCTTCTCACGGGGGCCACAGCTGTAGCCCCCTCCCTCACTACCAAAAACCCCGCCACAGAAACCCAGCCCAGCTTCCTAGAGCCAGTGACTGTGAGGCAACTGGTCGGCTTACAGCAGGACATGTGTCCGCCTGCCCTGGGCATCCGAGGTCTGAGTGAACATCGGAGTGAAGAGAAGGGGGATTGCCCTCTGCCGCTGACCACAGGGCACCAGCTTTAGGGATCTGTTCCATTTGGGGCTGCCAATCTAGGCGGTTCAGGTGTGTTTATAGAACATGATTAAAAGCTGAAAATAAGCAAAAACGACTCAGCTCTACAAGAGGAGGGTTAAGTAAAACAGGGACAAGTGAAAAGCAATAGGGAACCATACAATTGCAACAAATAACAGGAAATACTTACTAATCACTCAGATACTTGTTTGCAAATTTAAAAAAAAAAAAAAAAGTCCTATGTGCTTTGTAGCCAAAAAAACCCACCCCAAAAAATAGAACAACAAGCTGATGATAATATAGACAATCTTTACTAAATGAAATAACAAATCATTCCTCCTAGTTATCTTCAAAAATCTCTCTGTAGCAAAGCTCCCATGATGAAATTGTCTTTTGAGACCAAATTCAATGGGATTAGCAGGTTTGGGATTTCTTTTTTTTTTTTTTTTTTTGTATTTATAGTCAGACCTTCTCGGATAACTCAGAAAGAAAACTGAATATATTAATATGATTAAAGACTCATGTTGGCAGTCCATGGTAGATTCCTCTGCTGAATTAAAGAAGTCAAGGCCATGCCTTTGAGCTCCATTCCTTTCCCCCTATGTGCCTATCTAGTGAATACATCACTTTCAGATCCTTTAAGCTGGGATTTTTCAGATGAAGCACTGTGCATATTTGCAGATCATTAATACAGCTCTTGATTTAATGTCCTCTACTGAAGGCATGCGTTAGCATTAATTAATCCTCCTATCATCTTTTTTTTTTTTTCTTTTTTTTTCCAGACAACTGAAACGTGCCTATCCCGGTGCTGTAGTTCTTAGTACCGATGACTTCTTTATTGAAAATGGTGTGTACATGTTTGAGCCTGACTTCCTAGAGGATGCACACAGGTGGAACCAAAAGCGAGGTGACTGAAATCGATCCAGGGGTTTTGTTTTTCAGTCTGTCTTTAGATTTAGCCCCCAAAGGAAAACTATCTCAAAGTGTTGTCATATACAGAAGTTCATGGGGTACTGGTTAAAAACCTGTATTGCCACTTCTGACTTCATGTCTTCTGACTTAAAGAAATTTATAAATGAAAAAATGTTGGTGAGTGATAGATGTTATTTTAGAAAGTAAACCGGTGACTCTCAGGGCGCACTGCTGAAGCTTGGTGGCAGCAGGCGGCATGCAAATCCCAGCGCCGCACCTGCTGGCTGCCCCTGATGGGACGCAGCCGTCAGACTGTAACTCCTTAGACATCTGTCCTGACTTGGAAGGGGGGTTTATGGGGCTGGTGGAGGCGATAGCCAGGAGGAAGATCTGCAAACCTAACTACAAGTTTGAGAATGAAACAACTCCGGTCTCTACTTCAGGGAGAAAAATACACCGTGCTTTTGTGGCTGTGCTCTGAACTCAGGGCTAGCAATGGCAAACAGATCGTATAGCAGGGATCTTTTGCAAATAACAGTCGTTTTTAGCTGTTGTAAATACTTAGTGCTGTGATACAGCTAAGTATGGTCCATGAGAGGCTCAGCCAGCAGCTGCATCACCTCCTCCAGGGGAGCGAGCTCCTGCTGGTAACTGGCCTCTGCTCGTGTTTGGGTGGGAGCTACAGACCCACGGCTGGTGGGGAGCCGAGCGTGCTGGCGGTGGGCAAGGAGAGGACACTTCCCGGCTAGGAAGACCTGGCTTGGTCTGTTATTTAATACTTTTGCTTTATTTAATGTGTTTGTTACGTTACAGCACTCAAGGCAATGAAGAATGGGAAAAGCCCGGTTATTATTGACAATACCAACATCCATGCTTGGGAAATGAAGCCATATGTGATGATGGTAGGGCAAGCTCTGATTTATTGCTTTTATATGCTCAGCTATGACATTTAAGAGGTGATCTGACTGAAACAGTTCTTAATATAGCTGAAGATAATGATTTCCATTTGCCTGTAGTTCTCTGATTATAGTTAATGATTGATACTGCGAACAAGGAGGGGAAGAGGTGCCAGTGTCCTTGTTCTATCCAGTCAGCAAAATTATCTCAGTGAAGGCAAAATTACTTGAAAAGATCATATATTTGAATTTGCGCTGTAACTTCTTGGAGATCAGGATGTCATCTACCCTTCCTGGTAGTGACGTGGATTGAACAGTTCCCAAACTCTTTGTTGACAAATATATCAAGGTGTGTCTTACAATATTAGTTTATGATGTAAAAAAAATATACCGGAAAGAGTCTTCAAAAACACATTGCTATCTCTTGTCAGGAGTTCTGGCAGAGGTGACAATATTTTTATTGCAGTTTCATAATCTGGCCTGTCTGCTAATGTTACGCTCATGCTTCTGTTCTTGGGTTATGGTCTTGTCAGTTAAAAAATTTGGGTCTAAGTATTGCTTGTATGGGAGTACAAAAGAGACAGGAATGAATAGTGGTGCTCGAAATCCTGGCCGTGGTGCTGCAGCGGCAGCTGTGAGTGTGTGAGGGTGACTAGGAAGCAAGTGAGAGCACAGCCAGAGGTGGGCAAGATGGAAAAAGGTCAACAGATTGCCCTGACTCCTTTCCCCCAAATCAAAACAAACCCAGTCAATAATTGTATCACATATACACGTCTCTATGTGTGTGCATGTACACATATATACACCTACACACACAAATGTGTTGCTTTACCTTGGAAAAAGTTGAGGCCTGTAGGCTCAGCGGCTGGAGGCAGCGTGACCGAGAGGTGTTGGCCTCTCGCTCCCAGACGCTCCAGACCGGCGTGAGCAACCCGTGGCCCTTGAACCACCTGTCACTTCCAGAGAGTTCAAGTGCCAGGATGCCACTGCTGTGGGGGACAGGGACTGGGGGCAATGCCGAGGCAGGTTTTGCTGGGGGACCCAAATCCTTTGATGGAGTAGGAAATGAACTAGCTGGGACTCAGACCAGCACCTTGCTGGGAGTCCTGGTTTATCGTCCTCTGTCTGGCTCCTGGCACCTGTGATACATCCCTCGGCCAGATAAGAGCTTGGGGGGGTCTGGTAGAGTGGCTACTCCTGAGCTGGGCAGCCACACATCTAAAACTTCTGTGTCCTTCTTCAGGCACGTGAAAATAGATACGAAGTTATATTCCAAGAACCAGATACACCCTGGAAGTTCAATGTTCAAGAACTGACAAGGTACGTCTTTTTAATAGAGCAGAGGGCTTCTCATTTTATTGATGCGCTCTGAGGAAGGTCAGCCCTTTTCCTCTGCATATACTCTAGAAAGTCACCTAGTAAATGACAACAGGTTTGTTGCAGAAAACTTCTCTTAGTACCTGGTCTGCAGTGAATTCAGCCCTGAAAGAGCCTGACCATGCTGACGTGACTCAGGCAGTAGAAACAGCAACCCCCCTGATGTGTGTGTTTATACTGCAAGCTTCTTGGGGCAGGAACCCTGATTTTTACTCCTGTTTTTTGAGCGGCATTATGTCTGGGGACAAAACCACGTCTAAGCACTAGACAGTATTCAGACTTCTGTTCTTAAAAAAAAAATTAACCATAACAAAGATTGTCTTGCTGTAGCACGGTGGGATGCTACATTAAGTGTGGTCAAGACATGGTGTTCTGGAGAATCTTTCCAAATACGCACACATAAAAGGGATCCAATGAATGTATCGACTGCATAAATGTGGTAGGACATAGAGGCAGCCGGATATGGCTCTGTTAGTTTGGCTAGTGGCTGCAGGGTTTTATCACAGAAAAGTCCATGCAGGCTGATTTTCCAGCCTTTAACCAATCTGACATAAATCGCACTGGTGAGCGCTCGCCCCCCTGCTAGCTGCAGAAGCTGTCACCCCCCCGCTGGCATCACAAGAAAACACGGCACAGGTACTTCGTTGCGCCCGATTTGGTTTGTACCAGCTCGGAACTCCAGGCAAAAGTCAGCCCTGCTCCTTTTTGTGCGTGGCAGAGACCGACAGCCCGGGCGAGGTGGCAGGTGGCAGCCCCGGCCACCACCAGCCTGAGCAGGCAGCTCCGCTCGCTTCACCAGCGCCAGCCGGGAGCCGGTTGCAGGGCGGCACCGCAGAGGCTCTAATCGCTCCTTGGAGGCCGAGCTACTCAGCAACTTGCATTTCGTTTTATTCATCATTTTTACAGTAGCACCGTAAAGCTAATTCTGATACACTCGGTTGGGAGCAGCTCTGGGGCTGAAGGTTGCTTCCTTCCACTCTGGTTCCACGTTGTGTCCTTGCCGGTCCCAGGCTGCACGCGTGTGCAGGGCACGGGCTGCTGGAGGAGCTCGTGCCCACTTCACCCCCGGGGACGCCGCAGCTGGCGACCTCCTGCCTTCCCCTCACCTTCATGCCACCAGGGAAAACACAGGTTGAGCAACGCAGGATTTGCACAACACCGGGCTTTGAAAATACGGATGCAGGACGAACTTAGACTCTAGATGATGAATTGTGCCCAACAGAGCTCAGTGGCAAAACCAAAGGTATTCAGAGTTTGCAAAACCAGCCCAGCAGAAATCCCTGGAGGCCTTTGGAAAAAACAATTCCCCCTAATGTGTCGAGAGTCTGCAGCTGTTTCTGGTCCATCCAGAAAGCCCTGCATGTTTGCGCATCCTGTTCCCCTCCCTCTCAAACTGGTCATTTACAAATCTGCCCTGGAGCCTGAGCCACATCAGGTGTGACTTTTCCCTGCTGGTGCTCAAAGCAACAGCATTTTTTTGACCTCTATATTTGTTGATATAAGTCAGCATCTGGGCTCTCCACAGCCCCTGTCTGCGTTTCTCTAGCTGTACAAAAGCTCACCCTGAGGCTAGCCAGCCGCTAGCACTAAACCTCAGCAATACTCCTGTAAAATAATACACAGGTCTTCTGCGTAGCTCTGATTTAAAAGCATAACTTCTTATGTCCTGGCTGCCCACAAAAATACTTGCACTACGTTTTTCAGCAGTCTCAAAAATATTTTTAAGAAGTAGGTGGGAGTGAACAACAATTTGGGAAAAGGGGCTAGAAATAGCTCGGCAGGGACGCGAACCCTTATCCTGAACTTATCAGGAACCCTCACAAGCTTAACACGACCTCTAGTACCTGGGCAGCTCAATACTTGTATTTTCTGTTAATGTTGACTCTACAGAAGAAATATTCACCGTGTCCCTCGACAAAAGATCCAACGGATGAAAGAAGAATACGAACACAATGTTACCTTCCACAGCGTTCTTCAGTCTGAAAAACCAGGCAGAGAGGAGAGAAGCTCCAGTGGACCAAACGCATCTTACAGGATGGGTGCCCACTGCAACCCCCCTCCAGCCTTCTCACGCAGAGTTCCCGTGGCACCTACAAACAACATACCATTTCGCTGACGGGGGGGAGCCCTCAGTGTTTTAATTATCAGGGTATAAAAAGCCTCTAGTTTTAAAAATTTTTTCTAGACTGTTTTTTATTCTTGTATTTTTTCTACTGCATTGCTAAATGACTTTCTTACAAATGTTTAAACGTCACTGGATTATGATCTCTCAGCTCTACATGACCAGTCCAGGAGCACTATCCCCAGTACAAACTGTACGCCCTCTCATCTCTCTTCCTCCATTAAAATCCATTCAAGTTTACAATGAAATTTACTGGCTGTGCCACACTTTGTTTTTTTTTTTTTTCCTGCATTGTGCTTTGTCACTAACAGATAACAATATTCCTGAATTTATTCTTTATTTCTTACAGGCCAAGCAGCCAATTCCTTCTCCACGCAGTTGCCATTTATTGCCATTTTAATACTTTGTATCTGGCTGTATAACCTCTTGTATATTCCCAGTCCATCTTGCCTAGAGCACCGCTGCTAGCTTTGAGAGGCAAAGTGAGTGGTGGAAAAGAGCTCTAACAGGTTGTAGGAAGATTTGATGCTGCTCCCTACTGACCCCTCTGCTGTCAGGATTCATGCTGGTCTTACCTCAGCTCTCACAGCCAAACAGCTCCTCCAGCCTGGAGGTGAAACACTCCAACACACCAAACTGAGCCCTTTATCTTGCCAAGAAATAGGAGTTCAACTGATCCCGAGGCGAGTCCATATACGGAGGCTCTTGAAAGGAAACATTAGTGTCAGGCGAGTGCTTTTTAACTTCTAGGTAGGACCAGGGCCACAGGAGCAGCTCTGAATTGCTGAAGCACAAGGCTACCAAATACCCAAACCAACAAGTACAAAATAATGACTTAGTAAAATAAAAAAAAAAACTTAAGGGGAGAAATAACTCCTCCTACCACCAAGTGCCAGGAAGCCACTGACTGATGGATGAGTGAGAAGCCATCCTACAGTAGTTTTATCCATATTGTTAAATTCTGCTGATTGTGTCCTCATCAGGAAGCCCCAGTGAAACCTTTTTAAAACTCAGCATTTGCGATGGCAGTTTTTTTTTAAGCGGGTGTGGATTATTAGGCAGCACTTGCAGAACAGGACAGCACTGGGTTACGCTGCAGTAGGAAACGAAGACAGCTCACATCGGACATTAAGAAATGCGGGTAGAGCTGCTGTTCATCTGGCACTTCAGCAGAGAGGGAGGTGTAAGAGGTATAAAGAAATCCGCTGTTTCTGGACAACAGCCAAGCTGTCTTTACAACACGGTAGCTGTAGGAGATGAATTGTATTTGCTACTCAAGCCGCGTTCAAAGTAGTAGTATCATCGCTGTAAATAACGGTGAACGAGGGGACTCGGGTGCTCCGCAGCATTGCCCAAAGGTTTACACAACGATCAGCAGCCTGGTGTCAGGCCCTGACAGTTCTCCAGCCCTGCTACAGCGTCCAGCTTGGTGGCAGGAGCCACCTGGCTCCAGCTCAGCACTTGGGCCAAGCGAAGGGCACAGGGCCCCGCAGAGGTTGCCGTGTGGGAGCTGGTGGTGTCAGTTCTGAAACCTCCTTTGCCCCACACATGGTGGGACCCGACCACCTGGTAACTACAATGTGGAGCCGGCAGCCGGTCTAGCAGGACTGTTTCCTTCTCCAGTGGAGAAACTCCAATTCTGAGAAGCTTCACCTGTTGAAATTAGTAAGAGCAAAGTAAAGAATTCAAGTACTAAACTCACACTCAGCAGAAAGATCTCGTGATGAAATCGAGGAAAGATCTGATTATTTTTCACGATGCTGGGGCCTCAAGTGCTTCTTTAAGGAGTAGCTCAGAAACGCTGACCAAGGATCTACCCTTTTTACCTTTGTATGGCATTTTGTTATGAATCAAAGAATCCATTGTTCTCTCAATCTCTTTTAGCACTATGCGGACAGTTTGAGAAGTACAAGAATTGTGCCAGAATTAGAGCAGTATTTCAGAATTAGAAGCGTTATGTTTGGTAACAATAAACGTAGAGAATTGTTTATTTTGCTCTGTGCCACTTCTGACAGCCAAGATTCTAATACTGCAGAGGGTAACAAAACTTGGCTTTAGCCTGAAAACCAGATCCTGCTGTAGTTTAAGAATACATCAGAATCAAAGCAATGGCTTATAAAACACCATCAAACCTTCAGCCACAGCGATGCTGTTGTACAATACACGTTTGTGTGAGAAACGTACAATTACTCAACAACAAATTATTCTGCAGATGAAACGTCCAGTCTTTGTTTCTGTAATATAGCTTTATTAAATACAATCAGGGTTTAATGTACAAAATGTAAAAATAATTTGAAATATATACAATACTGTACATGTGCCTTCAGCAGTGTTTCCGGGGGTTTTGTCTTTGTAGCATTCCGCGGGCTGGCAACGAGTCCTCCAGTTCCTTTGTGTCCTGAAGAGCCTCAGCTACTTCAGAACTGCCTTTTGGGGAGTTATTCGCTTCCCCAGTAGACCTGGAACTGGTTTTGGGTGAAAGATCATCAGATAAATCAGTAGCTATTTTATTGCTGTTTTCATTTACATAATCAATCTTCTTCTCTTCTGGTAAATTATTCATCAGTGCTTGTGTATTGATCATTGCAAGTTCTTCATCAGCAACCAGGTCATTCTCAGGAAGATGGACAGTTTCTCTCAATTTTCTGCAGGGGGTGATATGACCAATATTCTGATTTGTTTCTTTTGATGACTTGCAACGCTGTAAACCCAAACTTCGTGGAGGCTGAAACGCTTTTTTTAAAGATGGAGAAATTACTGAACACATTGGTGTCAGTGGTGGAGGGGCAGGTATGCAACTGAGGAAGTCCATCGCTTTTCTCTTTTTGCTGTTTTTGAGATGGTCTTCATTAACTGTAGCAGATGAAGGTGTTTTTGCTGACCTTTGCCTGGCAAGTTTCATATTTGGCGTGCTAGTTGACAAAGGGCTTGGATGTTTTATTTCCATTTTAGAAGAGATCTAGTTAAAGAGAGAGACATTTTATGTGAAATAGAATGTCCTATTTCATTAACTTCCTCAATTACTTCCACAAAGCAGGGGAAAAAAACCCACTGATACGAAAATGCTATGTCATCATTCGTGTCCATCTTAACTTCAGTTTGATATCTTCTGATGGGGACTAATATTATTTCCAGTACTGATGCTTGATAAATCACTCTTTACATGTACACTAAGACAGCACATTTACATTCTGTTTCTGAGATCTAAGCTAAACATGTGGGAATTTTTCTGTGCCAGATGGTAAGAAATCGAAGCGCTCATAAAAAAGGAGTTAAGTCTTCGCCTGCGTCGGATCTATCCTCAACAGGTTGTTCAACAGGGAAAAGCGAGGAAAGATATTTGAAGAATAAAGGAATATAGACCAAAAAACTTGAGGATAATAGATGCAAGATAGATGCTGCACAGCAAATCATTCAAACACATGCTTAACCTAACACGCATGTTAATCTTCAGTGTCTCAGTTGTTTTAACTTGGTTAATATATTTAATAAAGGGATATAAACTATAACTTCAGAATTAAATAGTAGCACTCTCTCTGAAATGGAAAAGGATGCATTATAAGCTTAAATTTAGTCCCCGGGAATTGATAGCTCATCAGGGTGTTCTGACCTCCCTTGCAACTAGTGGCAGGAAAAATTTTTGTTCTGACTGCAGTCAGCACTCCACATTAAGAACAACTTGCCACTAGCAGCCTTCATGGGAAACCTGAGTACTATTTAACTCAACTTTTTTCAAGACTGCTATAAAATGTGAACATTTCCTAGGTGATACCTATCCACTTTTAAATCCTGGAAATAGCAATCAGTATCTAGGAAAAGGGGACCAGGAGGTAAATTCTCTGAACGAAGGTAGGAACTGCAGAGTGCCATGAAAAAAAAATTTACGGATCAAGATTTTTCCTTCCAGTAACATCCATGTCGGATAATCACAGTGGGACCGAGGAAGCAAGAAATCATCTATAGGGAAAGGATGATTCATTTTACTTATATAAAATTCAGAATACTTGGAGTATGCTGTGAAAACACAGGCCACAAGGGGAGGTTTTCATGTACTGCTCGGAGGAAGAATCACAGTTCCTCCTGAGGGAATAATCCTAAACCCCCCCGCAGAGAAAGCTTCTAATCAGCTTGCATTGTCCTGAAGAGAACATACGGAGTAGACAGAGAAGTGAGACCATTCACCACGGTTACCAGGATAAAACTTGCATATATCCTTACTGTATATACCATCACTATAAATATTAATTACCAGAAGCTTACCAAACTTGTATCCTCTGCAGAAAGACCTGAGCTGCAGGAGGGAGAGGGACATTCCAAGTCACATCTTTTAGTTAAGTTGGGTGTAAGAGAGAGATTTCTTCGTAGCAAATTCATCAGTTTACTTTCTGCATCAGAGCAAAAGGAGGCCACGTTCTATAAAGGAGAAGAGTTTACAATGCAGAATGGCTGTTCTTCAAATTGTGCGAGTACTATGCGCTCACAAAGTATTTAGGACTTTGTTTTCTCATCATAATCCCACTAGAAGTTTATTTGCTATCAAACCAACAACTTTGAAGAGGGCTGCACTTTCCGTGGAGGGAAACATCATCCCTTCCTTTTATTGTTAGCAAGAAAAAAAACTTTCTGTATTTAAACTTATTTTTCCATAAGAAATGAGAACACATGACCAAGACATGCTACTTAGCACAGCTAGAAAACTGAAATAATAAATAAAATCAGTAGTCTGACACTGAATATGTTCAAGTGAGCAAGACAATAAATTTCAGCTTTTAAAAGGCTAGAGGCAAACTATCCATGACAGGTTTCTTATTGACAGGTACAATATTTTTTGCTAGCCAGAAAAGGTTCTGTGGCATCTCAGAGGTGTTGGTTGAGCTGAATTTAAAAAATTAAAATAAAATAAATAAATAGACATTCAGTAGGTGATATGTAGAGTTCTCCAGTGCATTAGGACTTCACTCCATCTCCCAGAAAACGCCCTCAAACACAACATTCAGTGCATTACTTGTTTTAAAGATTTATTAATACTAATGGACTTTTTGGTGAAGAATGTAACACAGCAGTCACTAAAATTAATCATTAAACTAAAAATCTACAGATTTACCTCTATCTTACTTCTCAGTTCATTAACCTTCTCTTGAAGATGGTTTTCCTTTGGACTGGCTGAGAATACAGAAAGATCTCCAGCCAACAGCACAGGGATTTCTGATCTGAATTCAGATTGCCACTGAAGGTTGCTTGCAGAAATGAATGAACAGCGGACAACTATATCTTCAATAGCAAAGTGTCTGAGATCTGTCCAGATCTTTACTGCCACTAAATTATAGCTTTCATCAGATAAGTACACCATCGTGGTGAAACCTAAAAGCAAGAAGAAAAGTCTGAATTAAATCCTTAAGTAGAGGTTGATTACTGCAATTTGTATCTATAAAAAGTCACACATAGCTTGAAAGAGAATTGATAAATGTAACATGGCAGCCTGTCTACATGGTAGCAGATGTTTCATGCTTCGTTCATATCCTGTACTATCTCCACACTGATTACAGAAAACAGCTCAAAGTCTGTGTTCCAGTGCTTAAAAAACAATATTCCTGTGGTGCCTTTCCTTTTTATTCAGAAGGTTATCCACCTCTCCCTACCCATGAGCTGCAGTGCCTATGTTCCACTCGTTCCATGACACTACACAAAAAAGGGGGCTCACGTACACGCACGGTGGTACCTCTGCAGGTGCTGAACGCAGATGGGGGAACTTACATCCACCATTTATGGAAAATAAGAAAAGCTTCTCTTGCACTTAGATCCTCCCTTAGTAAATTCTTCCTGAGCTAGAAAGCAAAGGCAGTTTTTCTGTAGGAAAACAGAATTACCTGCCAGCCTAGCACAGCGATGGGCTATATTAGCAGGTTTTCACAGGCCTGCGATGCAGGTACAACGCCAAGATCATTTTGACTTTTGAAATAAAAACATTAGTGCTTATTCCCTGGGAGCACGTGAGTGTGGTCCACAACGTACCTGTTTTGCTAACAGAAACTACAACTCCAACTAAATCAACTTCAGCACATGGTGGCTGAAAAGAAGGATCCAACAAACTGGTGAATTTTAGAGCCTTCCTTGGAAAGAAAATCTGCACCAGCATCTGCTGTGATACCTGAAGGAAACACAAAATCGTTAAGTCTTTACAACAGGCACATGCAGACTGGCATACATTTCAGTGATACATCTTTAGGCATTTAAAGCACTTACGGATAGTTGCAGATACTGAGTTTTCTTTGTTGCTGTTAACTGTACGTTAGTTGAGCCTGACCTTCCTTTGGACTGTGATGTTGACAGCTGGTAGATTCTGTACCGACTGCCTTCCTTTAACAATGAACAAACATCTAGCAGTGGACGCCAGATACTCAGTAGCACTCCTAACAATATCAGATTAAGATGCATTAGCTGTGCTACACTAATTTGAAGACTTTTAAAGAAAATAAATTCACAATGCTCCCTCTCACCCAAAAGCCCTAAACAAAAATCCAAATAAAACTGGAAATATTAGCACGCAAGCTAGAATATTGTTGGGAAACTCTTCAAATCTACCTGCTCTGTTGTTCAGTTACCATGTTTAGATAGAAGTTATTTATGATTTTCAAAGCACTAACCTTTATGTTTTTCTTGCTTTCTGTAGTCGACCACGCGTAGTTTCCATACAGTAGACACATCTCTTTTAGAACAACCATTTTCTTCCTTTTCTGCTGACTCTAAAGCCTTCTTGAATTCTTCCTGTATCTGAGTTTTCTTTTTATCATTCACCAGCTGCCTGTAAGCATTCAAAGCTTTTATTTGGTCTTCACTGAGATATCCCTGTAGCCAAGAAAAAAATGCATTCAGTACCTTTTTTATTAATTAAAAAAAACCCCTCTCATGATTTTAGATAGCCTCTTTCTGAAGTGTTCATCCGTTACAAGCAATTTATCATTCAGCTGATACACTGCTACGACTTGAAATGAGGGACGTTGGCACAACAGGAGTCACCAGTCTTGACTGGTACTCAGCCGGTGCTGCGTTGTCTAAGTATTACATCACACACTGGTTTTATATGGTAATTAGTGAGAAGCCTGCTTAAGAGTGCATAACTAAGATGAATATTTAATATAACAGGCATGCTTGGCTGTTTCATAAGAAAGAAGTATTAGAAAAAAAATGTGTAAGAAAAGAATTGCACCTCTCAGCAGGCTGCTCTCTCTGAGCTGACAGTGATTTACACTAAAATGCATCAGGAGTGTTACCTTTCTGGCCAGCCCTTCAAGATCCAGGTGACTTTACATCTAGTATCAGAGATGCACAGTGTTTTCTCAAATAAATATTTATCAAAAGTTTGTCAAATAGACACAGATTTTATGGCTTTATGATAGTCAAGTACCCAGACTTGCAAAAGGCAAGACTTGTATTTAATTTTGAACAACTGACAGGGACTAATCACTTGCATCTTTATTAATAGAGGCGTAAACACTTAGAATTTTTGATTGAACTGGAGCATGGAATGAAGAGAACAATGACAATATAATAATTCAAACGCTTCAGTGAACAGCATGCAAGAATGTGTGTGACTTATGAGATGCATTTAGTTTTCATATATGCAAGACAAAGCAAAGTAATAAAATTGCAAGTAACATTAACTTCTAATTGTGCTATATCCCTATATTTTCATACCAAGAGAAAATAGCATTCTGTTTGCAATCGAAGATAATACTGATCTATTTCAACAAGCCTTCATTAAAATATTTTCAAATTTTTTTAATCTACATTGATTCAGCAGTAAGCATGCTGTAGAAAAATCTCAGAAGGCAGCAAAAATAAACAGTAATTTAATGGCTGATTTTAGCAGGAGGTACTAAATTGTAAATTATTCCACAAACATTTCAAAATTATCCCAGTTGGATCTACATCACCTCCATGTAACCAGGATCAGATGCGTTCTGAATTGCTTCATAAAGTTCTGCACCATCTTGCAAATTACGGATTTGCTGTCTCGTGACAATGCGTGATCCCAGTGTTGTTCTGCTAGTTCTCTCTGTTGAAAAAAGGCCGTACGCAACCAATACACTTTAAAAGTGGAAGAAATAATTCTGCAAGAAGCACAGTAGTACTTATGCCTTGCCAGAATTAAAATACAAAACACTTCTATATAGGAGCCGGTAAGTGTGTGTATCTACGTTTATCAGGAAAATACAAGCAGAAAAAAAAATATGCTACTCATTCATTTAAATACAACATAGATTAGAATATTATACAAACTTTGGGGAAGCCAGTATCAAGTGTCTGCACTTAGGACAGGTCGGGAGACTTGACAAGCTGCCATGAACCTTCATCAATACTTGACTGTATTTTCTGTATGTCTTTCACTTCCTCTCATACAGCAGAAAAGCAGAAAAGTCTCAAAAATACCAAGATCTGGGACAACAGGTGACCACAGGCCTGCACATGAAGCCTCCTTAGGACACCAGCGATTACCCCCTTAGGTAAGCCATTCTGCTGCTGGCATTTTGATTAATTCCTTCAGTGTAGTAGACTCCAGAATAGACAAGTTTACCAGTCAAACATAAAACAACACAGTGAGGTGACTGACATGTGGAAGTTCATATCAGTGAAGTTAAGAATTAGAAAACAATCTCTGATTTCAACTAAGAATTTAGCACTGGGTTTGATTTTGGTTGTTGTTTTGTTGGTAGTTTGGGGTTTGTTTTTTTGTTGTGTTTTTTTTTTTTTTGTGTGTGTGTTTGGTTTTGATTTTTTTTTTAGGATATAGCTTTATTTGCATTTTCCTTGTTATTTGTGAGGGACTCCAGGCTTGGAGAAAGCGTAGAACATCTCAGTGTTACAGATCACCACAAGAAAGATTTATGGAGAGGGAGAGGCTAGCTGTGTTGTAGATATGACCCTTTGAAATTTGAACTGCACAGGCTACCGTTAGTGATACAATCCTATCTGTTCCTGGAAAAAAAAAAAACCAAAACAAAACTAAAACACCAAACCAAAACCAACAAAACTTCCTCCCAAAAAACAGACTAGGGTATCAAGACAGCTGGAATCCATAATCGGTGCGGCAAGAATCCTAATACCCATTTTCATTCCAGTTTAGCTGAATCAAACCTCAAGGGGAAGCAAACACATTTCTGATGTGGCAGGGAGCTTCAGGAAGCTGTAGCACTCAGCAGCCAGTGGCGGCACTTACAGCAACAGCAGACCTGAAATTACTGCCAGAAATCAACTGGCAGAGGTGTGCAGTGTCATCCCATTACAGAAACAGAAAGTGGTTGAAGCTGGAAGGGACCTCTGGAGGTCATCTTGCTCAAGCAGGGTCACCTACAGCAGGCTGCCCAAGACCATGTCCAGTGAGCTTTTGAGGATCTCCAAGGATGGAGATTTCGCAGCCTCTTTAGGAAACACTGTCGGGTCACCCTCACAGTGAAAAAGGGTTTCCTGATGCCTGTAAGGAACCTCCTGTGTTTCAGGTTTTTGCCCATCAGCTGTGGTCCCATCACTGGGCATCACTGAGGAAAGCCTGGCTCCATCACTTTGCACCCTCCCTTCAAGTATTTATGTACATTGATCAGGTCCCCCTGAGCCTTCTCTTCTCCAGGCTGAAAGTCCCAGCTTTCTCAGCGTTTCCTCTTGTCAGATGCTTCAAGCCCTTAAGCATCTTCATGGCCCTTTGTTGGACTCTCTCTCCAGTACGTCTCTTACTGGGGAGCCCAGAACTGGACACAGTACTCCACATGTGGCCTTACCAATGCTAAACAGAGGGCAAGGATCACCTCCTTAGGCCTTCTGGCAACACTTCTCAACTTGTCCACCACGACCCCCAGGGTCTTTTCTGCAAAGCTGCTTTCCAACTGAGCGGCCCTAAGCATGTACTGGTGCATGGGACTGGTCCTCCCCAGGTGCAAGATTTGCACTTCCCTTTGTTGAAATCCTCAAGGCTCTGGTCAGCGCCTTTCTCCAGCCTGTTGAGGTCCTTCTGGATGGCAGCACAATGCTCTAATGTATGTCACTGATCCTAACTTTATATCATCAGCAAACCTGCTGAGAGTACACTCTGCCCTGCCATCCAGATCATTAATGAAGATGTTAAAACAGTACTGGACTCAGTGTTGATCCCTGGAGTACACCACTGTGTGTACACCACTGGCCTCCAAAGAGGCTTTGTGCCACTTACCACTCTCTGGTTCAGCCAGTTTTCAATCCACCTCTCTGCTCACCTCATGCTTCATCATCTTCTCTATGAGCATCTTAAAGGATGCCAAAAGCTTTGGTGAATCCCTGCTGACTACTCTCAGTCACCTTCTTGTCCTTCGTGTGCCTGGAAATAGTTTCCAGGATTAGTCAGCATCTTCTCAGGGATCAAGGTAAGGCTGACTGGCCTGTAGTTAGTTCTCTGGGTCTTCCTTCCTGTCCTTTTTGAAGCTAGAAGAGGTATTTGCTTTCCTCTAGTCTTCAGGCACCTCTACCAATCACCATGATCATTCAAAAAGGATCAAGAGCAGCCTCACAAAGACATCAACCAACTCCTTCAGTACTTGTGGGTTCACCCAACCACCGACAGTGGACTTACATATGTCCAATTTGTGTAAGTATTCTCTAACTTGATCCTGTTCCACCAAGGATGTGTCTTCCTTGCTCTAGACTTTCACCTGGTCTCCAGGGCTTGGGATTGCTGAAGGTCGGTATTGCTAGTTAAGGCTGAGCTGAAAAAGGCATTCAGTAACAGCCTTCTCCACATCCTGTGTCACCAGGGTCCCTGTCCCGTTTAGCAGCTCCACTGACCTCAGTAGCTCCACAGTCCTGCAGTGTTTGTGAGGAAAGATGCTCAGGCCTGGTGTTCAGGTGCACTGAGATACAGCCTAAGCAGCACTCGCTTCTAGGTGAAATATTAGAGTGTCAGGTCTTTCAAGAGAATAGAATTAACAATTCTGCAATTTTGTAACACTTCCCTGAGCATCATCTCAATAGTAATTTTTTAGTAGCCTGGCTACCAACAAGTTCAGGAAGCGGTTCCTAGATAGCTGCAAAGCCAAGCAATAAGTATATAACTGTTTTGTACTGAAAGGTCTTGATACATAGGAAATTAGAAAACCTCAAAACAATACAACATAAAAACAGCAACAATGAAGAAAACAACCCAACACCCTATCTCTGCTTCTCCATCACCAGAGAAGTTTTTGCCAGTTTCTTTAAACTCTGTAAATGCCAAAACAGTTTTTGTATTCTTATTACATGCTCTGAAACAACGAAAGCTTTACCTTCGTGTTTTTCATATTCTGCTTGGATTTTTGCAAACAGAGTTTCCAGTTTCTTTTGCTGATCCTCTGCGTGTTTGGCAGCTTCCCTTTCTTCAGCTCGGCTATTACGAAACACGTATGAACCAGCTGATGTCTTTTCCATCCACTGAAATAAAAAGATTCAAACAAAACCCAGACTTCTTAAAAATGTTTAACTTCATCTATTTTCCTTCTAATACTGTTAAGCAAAAACAGTTTAAAAAAATGAACAGGCAGTAATCGTAAGTTCTTTCAGTATAATAGACAGAAGGCAAAACCCCACAGCACTGGTTGGTAAATCTTCACTTTAAAGATACACAAGACAGAATGGAGCAGCAGTCAAAACTGCATGATTTAACAGCTGAAGAAACCATAGCTTATAGTAATAGGTATCAATGATGTGATTTAGAAGATAGCTGGATCCCACTGGTAGATACATTACGATACAAACCATCAAATTCAATGCTTAAAAATAAACCAGAACTGCATTCTACCCAATTTGTCTTTCCACATCATCTGTACTGTTTGTTTTAACATGCCAGTTAGATGCTGTAAAAGAACTATGTCGTTTTGCAGATGGTCTTAAACTTTTTCTGTCTGAAATGGTTCCACTGGACTACAGCCTCGTCCACACCCGTGCCACAACTGGCTTGCCTGATCTGAAGTTATGGGTGAGCCAGAGAAAGAGGTCACTGCTGCTGAAAGCGGTCCTTTCCTTTCCTCTCTGCTGCACAGCCCCATCTTTTTCTTTGCACTGGCTCCAGCACATACCTGGCCTCATCAGACCACATCAGTTTGTTAATTCAATAGACAACAGTTTGTTGTGTTGGGGTTTTTAAATTATTATTTGTTAGTTAGTTACTCCTAGTGTAGTGAATTAAAGTAGCTAAGCGACAGGATCAGGTGAGCTCCAGGTTTAGCACAGGAGCAGAACGATTAAAGGTTGAAGAACTAATCCTTACAAGGCAGTGAACTGTTGAAATAGGCTCTACCTGCCACTAACTGCACGGCATGTATTTACTGCACTATTCAGTCTGACACCTTTAATTAGGGTTTCTGTGATTCCTACATCCTTGACTCTTGACAGCTCAAGTCTTCCTGACATTTTGGTATGTTTGAGCCAGAGTCTCAGTGTGGTTTTTTTTTTTTTTTTTTTTTTTTTTTTTTTTTTTTAAAATATACATCAGCACATCTATCTCTTAATATAGTGAGATACAAATCACCACTTTCCTTCCCTGCCCTAGAAGCCATTTACTGTGATACTGTGATGTGGTTAGAGATTAGTCCCCTTTTTGGGACCTAAGTAACTGTTCGTTCTATCAGACAGTTCAGATAGTAAGTGCAGCAATTTCCTCCATTAAAGTAATGATCCAAACCAAATATTGCTATTATCTTTGCAGAGTTCTTTCCACATTGATACAACACTTTAGAAAGCAAGCAATGAAAAAAAAAAAAACCCTATATGTACATTCCAAGTGTAACATTCTCTGAAAAGTTAACAAAAATCTGCAAGTTGTATCTTGGTTAAACTGTTAACATTAAGAGGATGGATTACTAACAAAAATATTGTTTCTTTTTGTAGTTGGTATTGTTATAAAAGCAAGTAGTTAGAGTGAAGTCTGATCATATTTACAACGTCTGGATATGAAGTGGTATTTAAAAGATCTTCATTCTATTTTACACCATAATCACATTGTATTTTCTGTAATATTTTTAAATAATAGATCTTACACAATCTAGTCAGCTACATGTAAGAGAATGTAATCTTACTAATGGTTATAAATATTTAACTTCTTTGCAGGGATATGTATGTTAATAGAAAAAATTGGGTTTCACTTCTACCTGGAGTTAAAACTGTCCATGTTTTTTTTCTCCTTTAAAACAAGTGCTGTGCTTCTCAGATTACAGAACTGAAATTCAATTATTTCTGGCTTTTTGAAGCTTAAAGCAAAGCCAGCCAGAAAATACTGAGCACAAACTTAAATTCTTCTTACATGAGGATACTCCAGTCCTGAAACATTAAATACATGCACACTGCAAGAACCACTCCTGTTCATTTTACACATAATGGTACCTCTTCTTAAATTTTTTAGCTCTCTATATTATGTCTGGTTTGAGGAATGATGTAGCAATTAACTAATACAACTTAGATCTCAGAGAACCTGTTAAAATACTTATACCATACCTGAATAGGATATGTTCTTTGAATAACTACATCAACACATCCCACTGCACCACCCTCACTGAAAAGCGATGATAAAGGCAAAGGAAAAGGTCTGGGATCCCGATGAAATCCTAGTTTTGCATGCCATCGTGCACATCGAGTGCTGTTCGCTGAAATCTGAATCAGTTCAATGTTGAATGATAAACTGTCACTGGCAGGTCAAAAAGATATCCAACTTACACACAGTTAGAAGAAAGACTATTTTCACACTGACCTCACCTAAGAATATATCATTTTTGCACCTGAACATATTACACTTTAAATGCAAGGCTTTTTTTCATGTTGAAGAACGTATTTTAAACAGGAACTAAAAATTTGATGAGTTAAAATTCTCTAGGAAATGAGCATCTATGAGACAAGACATTGCTTTATACCAGAGGAACAGAATTTTTATGCTGAAACTTCACCCAGCACTTTAATCATCCTCAGACAAGTCAAGAGCCTCCCCCTCTAAGCCCACCTGCTCATGACCTGTTTCTCCCCCCCCCAGTTCTTCCTCCAACTTCCATACTGTCTATGATGAATAAATTCTTTTTGTAACTTGGTGCTTAACCAAATTAAGGAGCTTGAACTGTCAAAACACACATCAAAACTTGGCAGAATTTTGTATTATACACTTGCCTTCCAACTCTAGTGAACAGTGTCAGCTACCTTGTGTCATGTCTTACAAATCTGGTTACTAAACTTCGACAAAACTTCTCTGTTTATAAAGCCCTGACAAAAGTTTTTCTGTTAACAAAATGTGGCTCAGCTAAATAGCATCTATCACATCTCTGTCACATCCAATCAAGCTGAACTGGTATTTTGTTTTACCTTTAACATAAGGGAATCTGGGGCTTCCAGTGGTGTACATCCATTTTGAGAGCCAACAAGTTCTGCTCCGTGCACTATGATCTTCTGACCAACAGACAGCCTTCCTCTATGTAAGAAAGCTTTGAGAGGTGGATCCAGAAGAGCTCTAATTCCATACCAGCCATCAGTAACTTCAATTATTGCTGCTGCTTTTTTACTTTCCACATTCTTATTGCTACTGCTAGGAGATACGACAGTGTTTAGCGATACGATTTTAGAAATACACAGCACAAGCGTTTTACCTGCCGCATCATCTCTTTCAGTTATTTTTTTGATGGCTGATCGTTTACTTTTATCAACTTCCAAATCATACCTACAAAAAAGAATTGATGATGCTTTGTTAAAGCAAACAATATCCATCACATTGGTTTTCCTTAAAAACAGTTGTAGCAAGCTATTGCTTAATCAATCTACATGACTAAATACCACTGAAGCAAGCAAATGTTACCTGAATTTCTGCAAATAACACGCACTACATTTTTAGTACTGATATTTGTAAGTTTAACAATATAAGCATTCTGATAAACAGTAAGTGCAAGGCAGAGGTGCTTATTTCAAATATTATGATCTAGAAAGCACACAGTATCACAAATTGCAACTCCAAATACATTGCTATACACATACCTAAATTTCAACTGCAACAGCACTGTTTCTGGTGTCAAACATCTGTTAGCAAATTCATGTGGAAAGGATGCTTCCATGGCTGCCAGTTTCCATACAATCCACCTATAGTGATTGTAAACCCAGGCCTCTGTTATTAGCTTGGGATCCACACCAGGAGTGTCACAGAGAGCTCTGCAGATAAATTGTTAATAAGTTAACCTGAAATCCACTGCAAGTTTTTATTTACCTTCGTTCCCTTGCATCGCATTCAGTGTATGTACATAGGCAACATTAACAAAGGAACATTTTTCACAGTGAGAACAGGAAGGTTACATTCTGTAACCTGATCTGGTTACTGTCTGAATACTGAAGTTCTGTCCTCATACACTTTGGCAGCAGGCATGTGCATACATGCATGCATTCCTCAAATAGAGACTTTTGACCCTAGCAGTAGCTCCATGGGCATGCTCTGTCTGCTTCACACAGTTATGCACAGAGAGAGGGACAGGGGGGTGCTCTCTTCCATTTCAGCCCTGGAATTTTCCCTGCTAGCTTGATGAATTCATTACAATGCATCCCCGCCTCTACCGCAGTTTCCAGAGATGTTTGGGTGTTTTGGTTTTGTTTCTTTTTTTTTTTTTTTTTTTTAAGCATGCATGTGGACAACGCATTTCAAAAAACTTTCAGTTGCTACTGAAAAACTACTCTCCATTGAGTGACTTTTGAAATGGACTTCCATTCTGGGTTGAGTCCAAGCTGTACCACCATGATCTATGTGAGTTGGGTTGGAAACATCTATTTTTTTCCAGCTCTCACAGTCACTAGGAGGATCATTTCATTACAGAAGGAAGAAGAATTAATTAGACCAGAGATTCAAATAGCTGAGCCATTAAAATGATTAGAACACAAGGCCTATCAAAAAGTCAATCTCCAACTTTTCAGAAAGCCTCAAGAAGATTTTAAGAAACTGTATTGCAGTTGGGTGAGGAGAAGAAACAATTTAAAAGTCAAAAAGCCATATACAGGAAGATAAGGAGCAGGTACGACCATCAAATTAATTGTTACTACATTAGAAGAGAGCAAGACAATCTCAAACTTTAGGAGATACCCTGTAATCTTTTGTGAAGGACAACGCAATTCAGGAATTAAAGGCAGAATTCAGTTCAAGATTAAGATCCTAAACACAGATGACTAAACGAAAGCATATATATTTTAGTTGGTGGAGATACAATTAATATATCTAGAAGGGATAAAAAGACTGATTCAGCTAACCAACCAGTAGGTATTTATTCTTAACATATGCTTTAACATACAACAAATCCAGAAAAGAAACAGAAACTGAAGGCAGCCTCTTTGGGAACAACCTCTACAAACTGCTGAAAAGGCTATCTGGCATTCAGGGTCAGACTGACACTGCCACCACCCAGGGCAGATTCTGACACCAAAACCACTTGTGGCTAATTCTGGCATGTTCAGCACTATGTTACTGGTTTCTCTCTTCTGTTTCTGAAGAGTACCTGTGGGAAAAGCCCCCAGTCTGGTGGCCTGACCACAGAATCAGGGGCACATCTGAAAATCATTTTTAAAACAAGCTGCCTTTGGAACAAGAAGTTGGACTGCCTAAAAAGGCCACTATTTGGCACATCTAGGCATAAGATGTTTTGTGAAAATACTTTAATACCTTTCCCATTCACAGGAAAATTTTACAAAATTAATCAAGATTACCTCCAGCATGCCTAAGCAGCAGATTGCAAATACGCTGAGATCCAGAATTGGATGCATTGTTCCCAGAGATCTACTGCTTCTTGACAAAAAACACCTCAAACCTCATGTTTCCTATTAATTTGTGTAGCAGTGTTACTTGTCAGCCTAGAAATAGCAATTTCACATGAGAAAAGAACGACCAGCATGCCTTCCAAAATGCATGCAAATCCCGAGCACTGACTTGGAGGCAAGAGGCCCTGCACCTTTCCTGCACATAGATGAACATCCCAGTCTTTTATGCATCTACCATAAATACTTGGTAGGAACACGCCATCTAGCAAAGTATATCCCCAAAACATTCAACAATCACGTCACCACTGGAGGGGAATGCAGAATCAGGGATGGTATAGCTAATAGCAAAATATTTGCCAAATGTGGAGGTAACAGACAAGTAACAAGTTAGGTCAAGTTCTGCATACTCTGCCTCTGAGTGACTACAGAAATGCATGTGCCTACACGTCCCGTAGCTGTCTGTGAAATAGCTGGGACATGCGATGCCACAGGGTGCAAAATGGAACTGTGCGAGGATTAGCTCTGTCTTACAGTATTTATTAAAAAAACAAAAAACAGAAAAACAAAAAAACCCCAAACCCCACCACAATCAACTTTAAGGACTGCTCTGAGACAAACTTGGTTCACTGTCAGAGAGACTTGAGAACTTCCAGACCAGGATGCAAAAATTCTTAGAAGCAGTTTCTAAACAAGTGAAAGACAAGAGGGTGATTGGGAATGGCCAACATGGATTTATCAAGAACAAATCATGCCTAGCCAACCCAACTGATTTCTATGATGAAGTAACTGGTGCTGTGGGCTAGGGGAGGGCAGTGGATGTTGCATATGTTAGCAAGGACTCCGACAATTTCTTACAGTCTCTTTATCACCAAACTGGTAAGATACGAGCTGGATAAGTAGTTAAAGTGGGTGGAAAATTGGATGGACTGATGAGCATAAAGAACTGTGATCAACAGTCTGAAGTCCAGCCGGTAGGCAGTAACTAGTGGCACCTCTCAGATACCAATAAGGAATCAATGTTTAGTGTCTTCATTAACAACCCAGATGATGGCACAGAACACGCTTGTGGTGAGTTTATGGATGACACCAAATTTTTAGGAAGTGGTTGATAAACTGGGGGGCAGGGTTGCTACTTAAGAGGGACCTGGACAGGCTGGAGAAACAAGCTGGCAGAAATCTCATGTAATTCAACAAAAGCAAAGAAAAACAAAACCATCCTGGGCTGTATTATGAGCCAAGCCTGTGATGAGTGGTCCTTCCCCTCTCTCAGCACCTGGGAGACTGCATCTGAAGTTTCTCTCCAGCTCTGGATTCACCAGGACAAAGATACTGGTATACTGGAACAAACCCTCCAGAGGGCCACCAAGGTGATCTCCCTGTGCTCTCATGTGGCTAAGCACATGAGATACAAGCTGAGAGAGCTGGGTTGGTCTGAACTTAAGAGACAAGGCAAAGAGACCTTATTGCCCTCTCTAACTACCTGACCGGAGGACTCAGAGAAGACAGGGACAGGCTCTTCTCAGAAGCACACAGCAATAGGATGAGAGGCAACAGATACAAGTTGGAACATGGAAAATTCTAGTCTGAGATAAAGGTTATTTTGGGTTTTTTTAAACCATGAGAGTGGTCAACTGGCACAGTCTATCCAGAGAGGCTGTGGAATCTCTGTCCTTGGAGGTAAAGACTCAGCTAGACAAGTCCCTGAGTAATTAATCTTATTTGAACTGTGTTGAACAGGGGCTTGGACTGTATGACTGCCAAGCGGTCCCTTCCAACTTAAACTATTCTATAATTATGTGAACTCCAGCATTTGACTGATCGTCACTGAGTAGCTGTTAGGTTGGACACAGAACACCTTCAGTTCTTCCAACATGAACAAATATCGTTGACACCAAAACCACTTCCCACAGTCATGGCAATGACTTTGGCATCAAAAATGTTTCCCAAAGTCACATGGGAGAAGCTAATATAGATGCTGACTTACTAGCAAGATCAGAAAGCAATTTTCTTTTCATGAGGAAGTACTGATCACAGTGTGGACATACACATCTTATACTAGTCAATTTTCCCACACTGGATTACTGGCACTAACTTCACCAACTCAAACTTTCAAATAAAAGCTCCCCCTTAAGCTTGGAACAGACCTATCTCTGTCACACTTTGGTACTGGGAAGGAAATGTTGCAAACCTCTTGGATTCTGATACTATGTAGGTCGGCAATGCATGCTTGATTGCAAATACTACTCAAATATAGGGCCTTGTCTTGGGCGTGTGTGTGAATGCATACCAACAGCAACGCTGACTTGAAAAAAGCACCTCAAATTTCCCAAGGAAATCAGAAAATAATGGTTAAGTATTTTCTGAAGTTTTGCTGGAACAACAGCACACTGGTAGTTCCTTGTTCTGTTGCACATGCTTTCGATGGAGTTACAATGTACAAACTTGCTTACAGTAAATCAAGACAACTTTTATGGAAGTGTATAGGGGAGACGCACTCAACACATACACTTTCCTCCTTCCAACTTGTCTTAAATGACCTGCAAAAGGAGGGATAAAAGGACCAAGGGTTGTTTGTGCACTTTTTTTTTTTTTTTGCTTCTTACATATATTCAAAAGAAAGCCTGAATGAATCAGTGAGTTTGACTTTTGAAGTCTTTGCCTCCTTCAAATCATACATCAGCTTTAAAAAAATTAGATTGAAAAAAACATTTTCAGCCCTGTCCTGCCAAAGAAGTCCTAAACACTTCCCCAGTCATCCTTCATCCCCATCAAAAAAACTCTAAGAGCTCAACAGAAATAAATCCTTTTCCACTTGAAAAAAATCAAAACCTAGTAATGCTAATTAAACAAAATGGTAAAGTGCTGAATTAACAGAAAATAGTACTATTTTTCTAGACGATCTGCACTGTTGAAGAATCCCCAGAAATTTTTAAAATTGACTGTGTATGCTTTCTTTAATGGTCAGTGAAGATCATGGACAACATTAGTCTACGTTGTAAATTTACAATCCTACAATATCTTTACTTACAATAACAGAAGCATACTAAAAATGCACAGTAAACAGAGGGTTTAAAAGATAACTGTGTTGGATTTATAAGAGAATCAGTAACTGATAAATACCAGACTTGTCTCAAGTTCATAAGTAACAGTACCTGTAAAACTCCTTTTTTCCAGCTTTTCCCTCATCTGTAGGTATTAGCCATCCTCCATCAGCAAGTTGTATCCCATTTCCAGCTAATAAATACTCCTTACTGAAAAAGTCTTTGATGAGAAACTGGAAAGATTCTGCATTTGTACTGTTAACTCGTATGCAGTGTTTTGAAACACCGTATGTGTAAAGCTGAAAAAAATCAGATGAAAAGGACAAAATAATGACGATACTGTAACAATTCAGCTAAGAGGTTTTATATCTAATGTCATAAATTCAAATAAAATATTTCCTTGAGGTTGAGAAAGCTTTTGCCTGACCATGTTATTTTGCATGTAATCCAAGGAGGACGGAGGAATTCCCATCAATTATTTTAGCAGAACATCACCATAGTGTGCTTTAAAAGTATTTAAAATAATTTGATAGGCTTTGTACCTTCGCTGTACCAAAACCAAGAGGCTTTTGATATACTTACCTAAGCTTAAATTTTAACTGTTATCATAAAACAGCTCTTCATATGGATTGCAAGTCAATAGCAATTCCTCGTTTGATGCCTCTCTTGTTTGATTATAACACTACAGAGACATTTATGACCCTTATTGTTTGGAATAGTCTTAAAAACTGTAGGTTTGCAAAGCTCCTTAAAAACTATAGCAACTGGTATAACAGCTAGTGTAAATACTTATCCCAAAACTGAAGAATGTATCTGTTCAAAAGCTACTGAGTTTTTCTTTGTCTGAAGGAACATCCCGGGAAAAACACACAGCAAAAAGATATCAAAACATACCTCTTCCATAGAATAAAAACTAGGAGATTTCTCTTCTACTGCAGTTTTCAGAGAGATTCTATTTCTTGCAGATGTTTTAATGACATAAAGACTGCCTGGCTGCGAGCTAATATTTTGCCTATATTTCTTTTTAATTCTCATTTCCTGCATTTCTCTGGCACAGCGGAGATTTGTCACCATCTTGACCATAGCTGCAAAGAAAAAAAAAAACCAAACACATCAAAACCTTTTTACAGTACATATCAATTTAAGATATAGAGTCATACTATAAAAGCAGATTCAGAGAAGTGTATTTTCTAAGCGACTCTGTAGATTTTTAGAAACTGCAAGAGTCTAAATATTCAAAGTTTAATGCATTTAAAAAGCATTGTTTACTGAAGGCATTTGAATAAGATTTCTATGAAATTATTATGAATATAGAAGTCCCTGAACAAAACTTAAATCCACATATTTTTCTCATCAGACTGAACTCCATAGAAAACTCCAGATGAACAGAAATTAGTTGATGATGACTCCAAAGTCCGTAATTCTGAGATTCTGACCTATAAATACAGGATCTAATTCTGCAAGCCTTCATGCACCTGTTTAAATACACACAATGAGTCCTTCTGAAAAAAATCCAGATTATTTGACTGCAACAGTTACAGAAACTATACACACTGCAACATTCAGGAGAGGTTAGAAGGCATACACCCCCATGCTAAAGTCAAGCAGTTGAGCATTTAAACTGCCTCTCTGAAAATGACACAATCGTCCATTTATATGGTTAAGCCTGTATTTTAATTAGAAAACAGAATGAAAACAAGCTTGTGTAGAAGTGAATGAAGTATAGCAAGGCTAGTCTTTAAGATTCCTAGAATATTTGACTTAAGAGGTATAGAAAATCAAGTATCAAATGAAACATAAGCCATCTTGTTTCTGAAGCACTGTGTGAAAACAAATATACTGTGCTCTTAATTAACTATGGAGATGAGTTGCATATGCTTTATTAGGAGTGCAGTATAAAATATTAGAAAAGTAATTATTTCCTAATTTTCCTGAAAAAAAAAATTTAAAAAGAAGCAGCTTCTTATCTAAAAAATAAGTCTGACAGACTATGCAAAACCCTTAAAGGTTCAGTTCTGATTGTTAGCGTTCACAATAGTTAAATGATCAAAATCTGAAAATACCTAAACTGCCATTTTCTAGGTCAGTGTCTGTGGCATGCTGCATGCAAGACTGGTGATCATGAGGTTCAGAAGTTTTTTGTTCAGCTGTGATTTGATTTAATTCTGTCTCTTCAGTCCTATCTTTGCTGATTGGTGAGTCACATCTTTTGCCGCTGTCTTGTTCACCTGTAGAAAACGTCAGCTTGGTTTTGAAGGGTGGAATAAAAGTTTTCACTGTTTTGCCAGATTTGTACAAGCTTCTTGTTTCTTCACTCCCTTTTGCCGAGGCCTTACATGGAGTAGAAACCCCTGAAGTACCATCTGAAGACTGCCGTAGCGCACAGTGCTGAAAAATGGCAGGTTTAGATTTGAATCCTTTGAAGTCTTGATCTGGCAGAGTAAAGGTAGGATTCTTGACCTCTTGTCGTTCTTTAGTAGCCCTACAGAGATGAAAATATTTAAACATACAGGTTTCAGCTTTCTGGCAAAAACCTCTGTTAGGATTTTTATATTCTTAATTTAGTAATACAACTTTCAACACTACATCAATTAAAAGACAAAATATCAGGTTTTGCCATTTAAAAAACAGAATGCTTAATTTCTATCTATTGAGAAAAGACAAATGCAAGTGTAAAATTTGTTTAGCATCTCACTAGTCTACTGCAGCTATGTGTGTTATATGGTAATTTAATATGTTTATTTTGAAGTAAAATTATTAGTCTTTTATGAAGTTGGGTAGCAAATCATTACTGCATATTTTTTAAAAGTTACAAGGGCTTTCAATGTTTTAAGAAATTGCATTAGAAGAACTCTAAAATATATTATAAATTTCTCACCCAAAAGGTTGACAAGTTACGGGTTTTAAAGGAACATGGTACATAAATTTTCTTCTGTCTTTGAAAATGCCTGTAAGATAATTAGAAAACACAGTTTGAAATGGTACATTACATGGATGGATATTTACAGCACGTGTTTTTTCTCTGTCAATGTTATAAATATACAAAAAAGTTTCCAGAGTGGATTTAGGCAGCTTTGTTTGCTTTTTTTCCCTCCCTCCAAGTAAAATCTTTGTATAAAATATCTTTATGCTAGTTGCAGACAGATCTAAAGGATAAGTGACCACAATGTTGAACTCTCAAAATTTCCTATTTGTGAGCCTGCAAGATGTTTCTCAGCTCCTGAAAGGGAAATGTTTATCATATATTTAATTCCAGATACTCTCACCATTCAATTTAGAAGTTTTAGCAACAACTGTTTTTTTTTTAAGCTACAACAGAATTGGGCACATTTGCACAAACTCCTCGTTCCATCATTGAAGGACATGCTTATATTGGAATTATCAACATAACTAAATCACATCTGCCTGGAATTTAAACTCATTTGTGCTATGCCCTTAGGCTGCAAAGAGGAATTTTCATATGAGAAGTCATATATACAAGATGCCACATGTTCTGTAAGTCAGAGGCAATACTATACTGGAGATTAGAACTGTCTTCAGTTGTTTCACCAAAGAACAACACCGTTCAGATCCTGCTGCAGGGTAGGATAATATTTACATATGAAGGGTATAAAATTATTCACTGGCTACAACTTACAAATTCCATTTAGAACTTTTGATCGTGGGTTTTATGCTTAGAACAGATTTAGGACAGCATTCAGGAACCAATATACTGGTTAAACCAATTTATTTGATGAATCCCGCTACTGAATTCTTGGTGAGCGCATGCAGTGCTTAGAAAGAACAAGTTTTCCTTAAAGAACACATCCTATCCCATAAACAAAAGATGTAGCCAAAAATCACATTATCCTAATACCCTAATCACTAGCTTCACATAAAGCATCAACTCAAACTTTTAAACCCTGATATCACTTTCATAAGCCTCCATATTGCTGGCTTAAAATATTAAAAGCATCTGTAATTTAGACACCTACCAGTAAGTATATTCTTCACAAATTACTGTATGATGAAATTACCAGTACATTCTCATTTTCCTGTAGATACAGTTTTTAATTGAGAAATTAGAGGTCAATAAAATATATTCTTCCTACTGAGACTAGAATCTGTGAGATTTAGGATTGTGAGCAACTGGACAAATTCCTACCAAGATGGAAATGAAACCAGAGTTCTTGCAGAAGTAGTATATTGTAATATGTTTAGATTCTATACAAGGCATACCATTAATCATGTGATTTAAAGTCAGCAGTCATTATCATCGCATCATTCCTGAATTTTCATGACTATATTGATAAAAAATAAGCAGTTAAGCAATTTTATTATGTGTTAGTTTATTGGAAATTTAAGAATTTGAAAAGGTAACAACTGACATCAGATTACTGCTTAGAACACAAGAAAACTAAAATTACCATCAGGGGTGCTTTTCAAGGCTTTCAAAGATCGGGGAGGATTCTTTGTTCTGTTAAATTCAAGCAGTAGCTGTCTTTTAATTGGAGGTTCTCCTAGGATAAAACCACAGATTTTTAAGAGTTATTTCCTTTTAAGTACAGTTTCTTACCAATACTGTATAACTTAATTATAATTTTAAAATAAAACATTCAAGAAGTCAGAGCAAGCAGAAGTACTAAGTTTCCAGATTACACATCTGTATTAAACGGCCTTTTTGAACAGAAAGCTACTTCACCACAATTTGCAAGTTTCTTCTGTACAGAATGACTGTATATTGTGTTACCATGAATGATTTCAAGACCCCATATAATGAAGTCTGTTGCAGAATCTTTTGTGGTCAGTAGGCCTTTTCTGTCCAAATCAAAATTTGTGAGCCTTAAGTTAGACATACTCGAGACAGTCTGCCTCCGAAAGCGCACCACAGCAGCGTGGCTCACTCGCATCTTTTTTTGTACTTTCAGTAACCAGAGTCTCTACAGAATTCTAAAAAAAGTGTGTAACATCCTTCACAGAAGCTGTAACTAAGGATATGGTTCAAGTGTGGCACAGCTGTTTCAGGTTGGACTGATAGAGTCCTAATCCACCTTTTCATGCCTACCCAAGCTTTGCCGCACTAGCCTGCCCCACCTTTGTACTTGAACTTGTGCAGCTAGGCAGCGACTCTGTTCCAATCTACCTTCCATAAATATTTTTCAGCTAGCCCAGGTCCCTGAACAGGTCTGTGTGACTGTGCAAGCATTAAATACCAACACTTCAGCCCCAAAACAGATCAGTTTTAGATGACAAGGAACCATGCTTTTAGACCAACAACTATTTTTTCTTACCAGACTAGAAATCTCAATACAAGTGGAAACTTGTCCTCACCCACAAGGAACATGAACATGAAAATGGAAATACTGCTACTCATTTTTCAATGAAAAAACACTAGATTTGTGCAGAGGAAAAAAAAAATAAAAGTCTGCTGAGAGAAAACGAGCAGTAGCTTTCTTCCATACCTTTGTGCTAAAACACCAAAACCTGCACACCTTCAAAATTACTAAACACCAATTTAGCTTGTACTGTGCATTTAAGGATGGAAAGAGTGAATGAACTATCGCCTGCAGCATGAAGAATTTTTGTCACTGACACCTAGAGAAAGAACTTAAACTTTTATACGACCTAAAAATCAATGTGACATGCAAAACAACCTCAAACAACCCACCGTGGAGAAATACGGAGTTGAATGTATACAAGACAAAGACCTACCGAGTGAGTTTTCTTCTTCAAAGTGCCTCTTCCCAAAGGTCTTATTTTGAAAGCCTTTATCCAATCTGCCACTGAAGGACTGCGCAGCATTAATTTTTACTCCAGAATCAGAAAGATCATCTTCCATAAAAGCTCTTGCACTTTCTACAGCCTCCACTTCCAAGTAATATTTTGGAGTTTGGAGAAGAGTCATATTCATTTCTGCTTTAGCAGTAGCATTGCATGAAATTGCTTCAGACTCTATCTTCATCCCCAGATTTAGCTGCCCTTTTCCAGAAGACCTAGTCTCCTCTTGCTGAAAGCTATTTTTAAATGATGTGAACTGCTTGCTTTTTGTACTGTGTGTTACATACTCAGGCATTTTGACACAGCGAGTTCTTGGAAAAGACTTCATTTCCTCAGGGTAGGTGCTTCTTAAGTCAAAGTCTTCACTGCAGCTTTTTTCGATTTTGGATTCCGAGATCACTTTATCAGTTAAAGATTTCACATGTTGACCACTCTCTTTAACTGAACTAAGTCGATCTGTAACACAAATCTCACTGCTCAAAAAGTGATCAGATTCTTTCAAAATTGCCTTTGCTTTTTGATAGGCGTTTTCAGATACCGTTACCTGCTTTCCACTTGCAGTGCTGAACCCAAAAGCAGGAACAGTGCTGGCATTGTCTTCCCCTTTTGGTAACTCCATCCACATTTTCCTAGGAACTACTTCAGTCCACGTTTTGGACTTTTCAACATCTTCCTCAATTGAAAATGCTTCTTGTACATCAGATGAATGATTACTTTCCGTTTCAGAAAAGAGCTGTCTAGCTTTCCTGAGCGACTCTTCTGATAGTTGTACAGGCTTACCACTTGCTGTACTAAAAAATCCAAGATTGCTTGTAGAAGAATCTGACTGCTTTATCTGCTTATCTGGAACAGGCAAGTGCCCTAAAAGCTTAATATTCTGTTCGAAGCGTTGCCTCTGAGAATTTGAAACACACTCTGCATCTGCAAATGTGTTTGTATCTTGGTGACCACTTTCACTAGCACTTGCACCTACTTTAATAAAATGGGATGTGGCTGAATTAATATCTTCACTTCTTACATCATTTGAAAACTTAGCAGAATTAGGACAGTCAGCATGAATGATGGAAGATGAATTTCCAACAATCTCTGTTTGATTAATTCTTGAGTTAGTCTCAATTTCGTATTTTACAGACTCACTGTAGTCTTCTAGAAACATTTGTCTGACCCTTGCTAATGCACCTTCCGAAACAGAAACCGCTTTCCCTTTTGCTGTACTAAATGCAATTTGTTTCAGATCACTCTTGCAATTTTCAACATTAAGTGTTGTTTCTTCCAGTCTGGTTAAATTAGTTTCGTCTTCAGGAAGACTGACTAGTGACTGGTTTTGGCAAGCATTAACTATGGTATCTGTGAAGCAGTTTGTATCAGCACAAGCTTCGTTTAAATGTTTTAAGTCAAATTCATTACTGTCACAGTTCAAAAAAGAGCTATTTTTTGAAGTTAAGATAGATGGATTAGATTTGTTACTATCCTCAAAAAATAAAGTATTTTTTGTATCTCCAGGCACAGAATTATCTTCACGGTCATTTAATACCTTCATTAAAGGAGATGCAGCAGAGTACACAGGAAAATCATGCATGATTTCTGAATCATCCCTCTTTTTTGGTGAGTATTCCATCTCTCTCTCTGCGAACAATTTTCCATCTTCAGACGAACAGGTTTTACTTAAAGCCTCACTCTCCTGTCTGGGATGGAGTTCCAATTCTGACTTTCCAGGTCTGACATCAGCTTTTTTATGTGCATATGAAGTTACCAAACTTTTTTCACAATCTTCACCTGGTTTAATCAATATATCTACTTTAACAGTATCAAGAATCACAGCAGGTTTCATGGGACTGCTCTCTACTGCCTGCTTAAATTGATCTCCAGGTTCTTCAGGAATAAGGTTTTTATTAAAATTAAGTTTTTCTGGATCACACTGAGCAATGCTTTCAATACATAAATCACAGTCTTTGACACAGTTTTTACCACATTTCTTTTTCTTTCTGAGGTTCTCAAAAATGTCGTTATGTTTCTTTCCTAAATCAACATTTTCTGCAAAAAACTGTTCAGCTTTAGCCAAAAATGCATCAGCAATTGTTATTTTCTTGCCACTAGCAGTATGGAAACCAGTCAGGTAACTTCCTTTCACTTCATTTTTTTCAACATCCACCTCCTGATCATGATGATGGCAAAAACCTACTTTTATTCTGCTTTCATTCACTAACAGGTTCTTATCATGGGTGGTGTCTTCTGTATTTTTATTATTTGTCTTTAGTTTATCAGAGTTCTCAAGAACATTTATATCTCTTTCTGTACTTTGTACATTGAGCAAGCGTAGAGAATGATCCAAAGTTGCATTAGAAGTGGATATATCCCCACCAGCTGGAGTTTGAAGTTTTTGTGACAAGCATTCATTTTCCTTTCTGTCTTCTTTCCGATTAGGAGACGGGTTGTCCATTTCATCTGACATACTGTGTTCTTCTGCAGTCATAATAGCATCCCCTAGGCATGTTGCATCTAATGAGTCTTCTTGCAAACTACCTTCAACTGGGCAGTCTCCTTGATTCAAAATCTGTTTGGAAGTTTTACAATTCTGGTTATGTTTTTTGATGGATAATAGGCTGTTCATGGTAGTGTTAGTACTACTGAAATTAGTATTTTCATTATCATTTATTGTTCTTTTTGTTCCATTTTCCATATCTTCCTTGAACAGTGTACTAATATTTTCCTCATTTTTTTTCAGTGCATGGTGGGAAACGGCACCTATGCTTTTGAAATCTGAAACACAAACCATTTTTCCTTTGTTTTCTTTTGTCAGGCTTCTGACAAAATTACAGTTAGAAGACATATGCCCATTTGAATTGCAACAGCTACTACTGCCTTCAGAAGATTTAAACAGAGAGTTATCAGCGTCCAAGTCCCTGAAGAGCTCTGCAGATCTGGCCAAAGCCTCCTTAGAAATACTTATTTTTTTACCTCCAGCAGAAGTAAAGCCTATGAAATTAGAAAAGCTGTCCTGTTTAGCTACTGGAAAGCTCCCATCGGATATTCTACTTTCATTTCTGTCTAAGCTGGTAAAAGTAACCTTTTTGTCTTTTTTATGGAAAGCTGCTGTGTTTTCTTTTTCATATTCTACCACTTCAGAGTCTTCATTTATGTCTTCCTGTTTAGTACAATACCTGTCATTGTTTACTTGATTTTCAGATTTGGAAGTACTACAGGAATCAGTATTTTTCCTTGTTTCAGAAATATTTTCCACATTTGTTGTTCCACTTGCTTCTACAGTTTCAAACTGTTGAAAGACGTGACTTTGTATCATGTTACTTCGCTTTCTAAACTGTGTAAATTCAAACTGACTACCTGTTTCCTCCAGGATACTAGAAAGTTCAGCAATTTCAGCTTCTTGGCTTGCTGTCAAAGTTTGATTTGTTTCTTGCAAGGATTGTTGACTTCTAGGAAAGCTTTTACACAAGCGAACTTTATGTGGAATAAACTGTGTATGTCTGGGTTCAAGAGAACTCATCTGTGAATCTAAAGAATGAGATGAATTACTGGCCAACTTGCTTTCTGAATCTAAGAAAAATGTGTTTTCCCTTTTAACCTGATTTGAAAAGTTTCTAACTTTTTCTGTGGAAGAGGCTTCGAAGTATTCATTTTCAATATCTTTGAACAGCATTTTGCTTTTTGCTATACTGTCTTCAGAGAATTTAATCTGCTTATTGGAAGCAGTCTGAAAGCCACCAAAGTCCAGATTCAAACTGCATGCTTTAAGATTTCCTGATGATTTCCCTTTATTCTTTAGGTTCTCCTTTGACTTTGTGCTGGAATACATAGGTGCTACTTGTTTATCTTCAGAAATTACTTTATTTAAAGAATTATCATCTATAGAATCTAACAATTCTTTGGCAGTCTCTACAACTACATTATTGCAAGCAGCTGCCTGAAGGCTTACACTGTTTCCAACTAACTTTGGCTCTCGATTGTCGGCTACAACTTCTGAAAAGGCAGCTGTATCTGTTTTCTCCCCTTGTTTTAATCCAGTCCCATCATTTTCTGAGCAGTTTATTCCCAAAGGTCCAAGAAGTTCTCTACAGTCAACTACTGGCCATTGGTCTGCAGCATGCCTTTTATCAGTTGATACTGTACTGCAACAATCGCTACTGACTCCATTTAGGCCAAGTTTGATCTGACTTAAAGTATTATTGAAACCGCTGTTTGTCACGGATGTAGCGTCATGGTGCATATCAATCAGGGATTCATTATCCCTAGAAGACCACGGAAGTTGTTCTTTAAGGCTCTGAGGTACAGCAGATCCATCGTCCACATTAGCACTCGTGTGCTTCTTGTCTTCACCTTTCTCTAAGCAACAGCTTTTAGGGAGCAATCTGGAACGCTTTCTTGCCATTAGGAATGCTGAAGTTTGAACTTTACGTTTTATATTTGAAATTATTCCACTATTTAAAGAATTTGTTGAGTCTTCTTTCTGTATATTAGATACCTCTAAGCATTTTAATGATGTAGCAGGTTGATCCTCTCTTGCATTCTCCCCCAGGTCTCTCAGGTCTTGCTGCTTCAGCCTATTGTTGAAGGAATTATCAGACGAGTTATTCAGTATATCCATTTTTAAAGTATAAGTGCTGAAATTATTTTCCTTGATACTTGATTGTAAACACTTTCTCTCAGCAAGAAGCAAGCAGTCTACAAGAGAAAGAAAGTTTTATAGAAAAAAACGTTAATAAAGTAGTTCTCATTTATTCAAACAAATACAAATTCAGATTTTCATAAAATTTTATCTCATGAGATCATTTCTACACATGCTTAACACTGGTACCATAAACATCACTTTTGTTTTCAAATGTGAATGCCTTGACAGCATTGGAGATCTTTTTAATGTAATCATCTTCTAAAAACAGAAACAAGTGAGAAGGCTGCAGTTAATGCTATCAGTTAAAATTAAAAAATCCATTTTTAGTTGTAATGAAATTTGAAGAGTTGGACTTCCATTCCTTGTGTCTCAACCTAAGGATTCGTATCAAACTTTAAAGAGAAGTACTTCAACTCCTAATAAGTAATTCTTCTAGCAAGAACAGCAGCTTTAAAAACAGAAGTATGTGCTTGCTTTCATTATATAATTTGTTTTTTAAAATATTTTGTGCTTCTGGAAGAAACAGATGTACAGTCTTAAACCCCGTAAGTTTAGAAAAGTAACAATAAAACTCGACCATTCTTTATGATCTCTTTCAAGTTATTAACTCAGACAGGACGGCCATTGACACTGTAGATGTCTAAACAGCACTGACAAAGATAATTAAGCTTGTCAATTAGAGTAACTGTTCAAGGTGGAAGTTTCTATTCCAGAAACTAATCTGAGACTGAACAGTTGAGTTAGCACCAGACTACTTGACAATAATGCTATTCTGTCACTATTATTAACTATTATTCTGTCACTACTATAACAGACCAATTCCATAGCTTGATTCCCAGTTGCAGAGCTACTTTATCACAAACACAAGATTACATGATTTTGTCTGAAACATTTACATAAAAGGTTCTTAATAAAGAATCCCCCACAAATGATGAAAAGCTTAAAATATACCTTGCTTATCAACGCTGGCTACATGACAGCCTTTAAATTCATACGGATCAGATTCCGAATGTGGTAATACAGGATGAATAGGTGATGCAGAGGATACTTCTTCCTGTATTTTTCCTTCTTGATACAGTAGAGTATTATTTATTGTATAAATAAATCTCTTGGACCTCTTTCTCAAGCTGGATAACATATTCAGATGTTTAAAGTCAGACTCTGTGAAAGCATTTTCACTATTTATTAAGTGTAGGTCATTACAATTCTCTGGTGATGTAGCACTACATACAAGTGGGAGAGACAGAACATCAGTCACCACAGACTTAGAAGTTGCTTTTAAACGCTTGGAAAAGCTGCCATTGTAGACTACAGAATACTCTGTGACATTTGTACTTTCAATTAAAAAAGAATTACAGTTTAAGAAGCTCATTTTGGAAGCCTTCTCAGCTGCACATCCTTTTACTATCTTTGGATCGTGAACACTCAGAGACACAGATTTTACTGGAGTTATTTCCGATGTTGGGTTGTTTTCAGAATTTTTCACTTCATAGCACTTTTCTGACAGATTGACAGTCAACAGCTTTTGTGCTTTTATCAAGCCCGAGGTATTCATTAAAGAGGTTTCCACAGCATCATCCTTGGTCATTAGTACTGACTTCTCTTCTAAATTTTTCTCTCTACATAGGGCCGAGGGTAGAGCACCACATACAGACATTTCTAAGGGAGTTACATCAAGATCAGATAAGTTCAGTTGAGACCACTGGCTTGATGAAGATGGCAGGTCTTCATTCACAGGCTTCTCATTCTCAGGTGACTTGGGTGTTCTATGATCTTGCACATCTCCTGCAATCCTAAGTGACTCCAATTCCTTTTTGTGTCCTATTAAACAGTCAGGTTCACCATCCCCTTTATCTTCATCTGTGTTTTGGAGTAAAGAACCCTTCATTTCAATAGAGAGGCTTTTTTCAGTCCAGCTAGTTGTTTTCACTTGTGAAATGCCAGTCTTTCTTCTATTAGGCTGCTCAGAAGGAACATCCCCCTTTCCTTGTGCTTTATCTGTGTTTATTTCACAGTTCTCTGCTGCATGTAGAGCATTGGGCATCAGCTGAATTGTTCCACTGGACTTAGCAGGCGTGTTGAATGTATCCTCAAAGCTATTCATCTCACCAAAAAAGCCATCTAACACCTCCGACTCTAAATAGTTTAGAGAAGATGGGGAGAGGAAAATAAATAAAAAATTAAGTTTTAGGAAATAACTCAGGAACAGCACTGGGGGTTTTTTTATAGGTAAATACAGCTTTCAATGTTATAGTAATTACCTTTCCTCTGGACTGAGTTTGGAAGGATAAATCTACATGTCTTTACGGTAGGTTACTCACCACCAGCAGCTGTTATAAGAAACAGGAGGCAAAGGACATACATGCAAATGCCCTGGCCTCCTGAGGACTGTGGTGGTTAAACGGGTTTCCAAGATGAAACCCAGCTGTCTCAAAAGAACTGTTTATTTTTTTTCCCCTACAGACAGAATGAGTAGTAAATTTTTCAAGATAAATGTCTAGATTTTTTCTTCCAGAATTTATACCTGAAGGTAGGCACTAAACACCTTAAGCAGCTGCCCATTTTTGTCTATAATGAGCAGCCAAGGAAACTTATTTGAGGATTAATTTATTAAATTATCTTTGATATAGAATAGTATAGTATCTAGAAAGGTTTAGAAAATATTCTCAATTTTGTTATTGATTAAAAAGCTTAAGAAGTTCCACATGATTGGCACAAACGTTAGAAAAATAATGAGAATTTTTTCTGTGTGTATAGAAAATAATTTGCAGTGGGGGAAAAATAACCTGAACTCTCCTTTGTAGACAGCCTTAAAAGCTTATATATACTAAATAAAAATATTACCACCTCAAATGTATGGAACTAGACTCACCTATCAAAATAGTTCACATTCAAAAAGATTGTCAGGTTTTATTTTGAGAGTACTTTTTAAGGCTTTTCATATCAAAGAAATAGCAATGAAGTACCTAAAAACATCATTGTTCTGTTTTCCTTGGGCACATAACTTTTTCCACAGAAGATTTCCCAATACTTGGTCACACACATCAAACTATTTATAATACATCCATTAAGGGTTCATGTCCTTACTGCAGGTGTAAAATCACCTCTCTCATCACATTGCTTCAAGTTAGTTACTCATTCTCTTTACTTTCTTTTTTTTTTTTTTTGCCTGAGTGTCAGAAGGTGTCACTAAACAAGATCTTGAAAAGAAGAAACTGTAACACCTCAGATTGAGTGTACAGGTCCTTTTCTCTTATTAAAGTACATTCTTCTGGGTTAACTTCTGCGTCCAGACCCCTTCATCCTGTAATAATTTGTCAACAGAGCTTTCTAAAAAGATGCAGTTTTATTTTTGCTTAAACAGGAGCCATTACCTTTAACTGAAAAAGAAAACCAGGAGCATCTGAAACATTGTGAAGCTATTGTTTGCACACTGCATAACCTGATGTGGAGTGGGGGGGGGGGGGGGGGGGAAATGGGAAAAAAAAAAAAAAAAAAAAATCAGGGAAGTTCATTTTGACTTCTAAACTCACTGGAGAGACAGGGAAATGACAACCCCCAAAAATAAGGACTGAGGAACAGAATTTTCCTGTTTTCCCAGTAAGTGCCCCCATTAGGCAATAACTACTTAATTTGTTTTCTCAGAGCCTCTCCTAAGTAAATAATACAATACGCAGAAAAAAAGGGGTTTACTAGGTGTTTCTGCTCTGGAGTCGTATATTGACTAATTGTTAGAACATATTGCCACATTTCAGGTTGGAATCCTTACAAGCAGAGGGTACTGAACTCTCTTCTCCTACAGCATGAATAGTTCTAGACCCTGAGGGTAAAGATGAACTGTTTACTCTGATCAGGGTCAAAAAGGGACTGAATGACATCATTTTGGGTTTTGAATTAAAGAGTTTAAATATCAAGTTTTGGGCAACAGACAAGGGCAAAATACCTAAAATGTTACAGAATTCCATGTTTCCCATTAGTTTTTGAATTTAAATAGCTTCCCAGCCAATATGCTGATTACTATATATCTGAAGACTCTTAACACTGAATGCAGGTTCATACAGCAAAGCTGTGAATTTTGCTACAAGGACCAGATGCCTAAAGCTTAGTGTTATGATGTTATAATGACCAGGCGTAGACTTACATAACCTAGGGATGTGAACCTTAGGAATTAATGATTAGGTTATAAATTAATATGCTTAACAACTGTATGCAAGTTTAGCTCCTTTTGTGAAATTCCTAAGTGTTAATACATGACAGTACACATCCTGCAGTCCATGGTTACACTAAATGTAAAACAGTTAAAAAGTCTTCCTCTTCCCCCAGATTACCGCAACTAAAAAGACTCTTTGAAATATTTGGTAACTTTTGTTATTTGGTTTAAGTCCATATATTCAGTCTAATTCCTATCAGGGGCACAATTTGTACAATATAAATAATCTCTTCATATCCTTAAAATTATGTAGGTATTAAAATCAGTATTATGATCTCTCTTATTTTCTTAGTCTGGAACAAAATGTATTTCTAAAAGCTGACTGCCTTTCATACAACACTATTCCAAAGTAAAAGAACATTTGAAAGCTAGAAACGTGGAGGTTTGAGCTATCCTCTTCACACTGCATCTTCAAATGCCAAGTTAACTATTATTAAAAAAGGAAGACAGAGGGAAAAAAAAAGAAGACATTTGCAATATTTATTTTGTACTTCAAGAGAAATGGGTTTCTTCTTCCTCTTATTTTTACTCACACATTGCTTTAACTAGTGTTCTCTACTGTAGTAAGGGATGTAATAAGCCATTTTGGAACACAGAATAGAACATTAACTTGTCCTTAATTTCTAAAAGTAGTTTACTGACTACAGATTACTCACATATGCTTACTACCAACTACATTTTTCTCAGCATGTCTGAGCCTACAACATAAAAATAGCAGTATATATTGCTCTGTAAGCAGCTATGTTTCCTGGCCCCAGCATTCTCAGTCCTCCCTGTCAAACTGTAAACAGATTCTTTCACAATTCTTACGTGTACCAAACAGTATTTTTTAGGGCAGTCGATTCAATTCAGATAAGGAGACATACAATCCTAAAGATATATCATCCTGTCTAGCCCGTGTCAATCTCTACAGCACCCTTTTACACCCACACATGCTGAACAAATTTGTTAATGTTCTCCCTTTCCCAACAAAAATCAAAAATCTCACACTGAAGTGTACATTTTCACTTGTCCTCCAACATGATCTAAGAATACAGAATGAAAACATTTGTTTCCCTTGGCTATTTTCTGCATTAATTTTTTTAAAAAATTAACATTTCTTTTTTTCTAAAGGATTTGTCATGTTTTGAACTACTAATAGGTGAAGTAAGTGAAGAAAGGCTATAGCAAGATCAAAACCCAAAATCATCACAGAATAACGAGTATTGGGGTGAAACTTCATGCTAAAGCTAAATCTGTTCAATAGCCAGAAGTAGTAATCTTGCTCCCCCTTGAGTCTGCACCATTTTTCTCTCTCAGCTCTCCCAGTCTCATGCCTTAACTTACACCAGTACTAATCTGGTTGTCATCCAGTGGAATAATAAACTGATTTAATTCACTGACTCAGCAGCAACTGATTTCCTTTAAGGTCAGATTAGTTTTACAAAATTAAACAAATTCAGGAAGTGGGAGTACACAGTTGGCAGAGGAAGTAAATCATAAGATCAGCTCAAAACATACAGTGTAACTTTTCCCTCAGTCTTGCTTCACAGTATACTCAGTAGTCAAGCATCAGATCAGTGCATACCAAAATCTTTGATGTCATCTTCAGCATTTAGCTTTACCGTCTCTGGTATGGACAGCATACTTGTATCACTCATCTCAGGACATTTATCATGGTTGGAAAAAAAGTTGTGCAAAATCTGTAAACCAAAGACATAAGCTATTACATACCAGTAAGTCTCACTTTAACAGTAAAACACACAACTCCAAACATTTCCTGCAGTATCTGAATAACTGTGCATCTCTTAAAATAAAAGGTAACATTTTCACAGGTACACTTGAAAATAAACAGATAATCCTCATTTTCAGTGCAAATCAGGTTCCATTCTACAGTCAATTTAAGGGCAGTGAATAGATTCAGCAGTTTACTATAAGCAAGTCTCTCAAAAAGGAACAAAGACGATCGAGGAAGACTTTTTGCTTATTTTAACTTGAAACGGTTTGTTAACTGTGAAGTTTCAGGTAGTTAAAAATAAAATGTAAAGTTGTAATTGAATCCTATTAGCACCATCCTCAGTTTTCAGTCTGAATAATCACACAGCTTTCATATACACAGAATAAAATTACAATCTTGTAGGAACTCTTCCTTTCCTAACAATATAAAGGGACTGAAATTAATACTCAATTTCAACTCTTGGTATAGTGATTGAGCACAAGTTACTGGACAACAGAAGCCAAACAATAACTCCCAAAACTCTGACAGAAGAACTAAAATAAACACACAAATCCTCAGAGAAGTAATATACTGCAATTTCTAAGTTTGTTTTCTCTTTGAATGACGCCCACTGCTGCTAAATCCAAGTGATTTTGTGTTTTTTTTTTTTTGTTTGGTTTTTTTTTTTTTTTTTTTAAACACAGCAAAAATACTCCTCAAAGGGGGTTATTTGTGAAAATATAGTCTACAGCCAGGTTTTGCTACTTTAGTTTTCTGAACAGTAACTTTTAAAAATAGGCAGGTAGGAGGGCCTAGAATGAAAATGAGAGTTTTTTATTCTTGGCTCAAGGAATGTAAATATGTAACTATATAGCTTAACTGAAATTAAAGAACACCATAGCTCTTAAAACTACTTACTATCTCAGCTCTTTCATCCTGTCGCTTTGCTTCAGAAATAGAATCATTCTCTCTAGCTTTAGAAGAAAGACAGACAAGTCAATTCATTTGCTCATAAGCAATTTGCTGAATGTGTTCAAAATACGGTTGTTTTTTTGAAGAGGTTTTCTTTGAATTATTTTAAATGCAACTGAAACCTATAAACAAGAAAACTACTAAAGATTAGCCAAAGTTCTAACTAAGAAGTCCTACAAACGAGGCTGAGGGACAGCCTACAAAAGCAGTTTCATAACAGCATAAAACACCCTAAATCATAGGTTGTAGTTGCTGCTATGTAGGTAGACTGGTCACCACCCTGAGCCCACTGTCACTGCCAATTCCCTTTCCAGCAGTTATTCATGGCACTACTCTCAATTTTTTCTGTCAAAGGATGTGGATGTAATCTTCAAGCCTCTCTTACGAATTTGCATTTTTTTTCCATTTCCTCCCACAAGAACAGTAATATCTTTTCACCTACATTACAGAAGGAGAAAGCAAACCCTATTTTTAAGATGCCTAAGGAGCAGTACCTTCAAATAACACATTTCATAGACATGGCTTCCACTGAGCAGCCAAATGACTGACTCTTTCCTTTTACAGGTGCCAGATGGCAGAGAGTGGGCATCACTACTGTAAAATACTAGGCTCATCCAGGAGGTGGGAGAATGAGGAGAGCTCAAATCACAACTCATGTCCCAGAAGAACATCATTAAGCTATGGGTGTTTTCCCCAGCCTTCCTCTTCTGGTCACATCGTTCTGAAACAACAAACACCCACAAGTGCACAGCTCAGAAGCCTTGTGAATAGTACCATCCCCTGCCTGCCAAAAAGAGGAATCACAGACTGTCTCAAGTTGGAAAGGACCCATAGAGTCCAACTCCCTGCTCCTTGCAGGACTACCTAGAACTAAACCATATGACTAAGAGCACTGTCCAGGTGTTCCCTGCATTCTGACAGGTTTGATGCTGTGACGATTCTTGCATTAAGAGATCCCCAATTCTTGCAGGCACTGTTAATATGCTTTATATGCTTGCATGCTCTGCATACAGTGATAGTTTAACAAGAGCAATGTCAGGAGATAAGCAGACATCCAGTTCTTCTCAAGAGTTTTAATCAACAAAGCATAAAGGCAAATTTCATTTTGCTTATCATATGTTGATGAAATACCACTTTGAGCAACACCTTGATGTTCAGCATTAGTGCCACAGTTATCAGCCACTCATTCTCACTCACAGCTACGCTGGCACAGCTGTTTGTGCAGCTGTGCAGTGACTGAGGTCCAGGAATTGCCCTGTGCAAATAACCCAGGAAATACGGTCTTCAGCTGGGTCAGTATCTCAGTTTACCATCTCAGTGTAATGGTAGGCACAGTGACAGGGGTTAAAAATGCTGAAGCCAGCACTGCTGCTGGAAGGTTTATTCAACAAGCTACCTCCTTAGACTTCATAAACATACTCACATGACTTAACCTAATAGTATCTACTTTTGTGATAGTGCAAAGAAGCCATTATCTAATCCTCCTGCTATGCTTTTTCTAAATTTGTATTCCCTAATCCCTTATAAAAAGGAAGAAAATTTTTGAAAAGCAGTGACACATTTAATTTAATTTCTTCATTAAAGTCACCCACAAAGCATCACTGTAAGTTCTGTCCTTGTTAATAAAAATAAATCAGTTCATACTAAGTGAACTTCCAGTGTCAAACCCAAAAGTTTAACCCTTAACAACTGTTCATTTTTAGAAATACCTATTATCACTGTTGCACCAAGTGTAGGAGGTGTGGCTAAAGAACTTGACCAGGACATATCTGGATCCACTTCTGCTCCCAGACTTTCAGAAATACGTTTTGGAGTTCTGACCTAGAAATATATTTAGCAATTATTATTTCTATTCAGCATTCTAAATAGACTACTCAGGAAAAAGAAAACAAAATGCAGGAACACAATACTTACCTCCAAAAGTTTTGGTGTGCAGAACAAGCTTTCATATGGTCCTAAAAAACATTATGTAATACAGACATTAAATAATACCTAAGACATAAGGATTTATATCTACAGATATTTTGTGAAACCAAAATGTGAAAATACAAACCAGGCATGTTATTTCTCTGAGGTGTTCTGTAGGTATTCCTTAAAACACTTGGACTGCAAAACAAAATGAAATTAATATTTTGTTTCACTTTTCAATTTTTTAAAATAAGTATTTCAGACATGACATATATTATCACCTCCATTATTTTCTTTCTTTGCAACCATGGCTATTCCCCTGACTAAATAAAAATGTAGATTTCTCCTAACCATCAGTATTTTAAACCTTACTATAAGTTTGTAATAAACTGTAAAATGCTTCTTTTGTGAAATATGTTAATTTTAATTGATGATTTGTCTGACAAGTAGTGTAATGGATTTCAATATAACCATGCATTTCTTAATATGGTGTACGACACTACAGAAATTGGTTTAATTTATTTTAATTAAATAATTAGTTTAGCTATCAAAGCTATTACTAAAAAAAATCTCAGTAATTATAAATAGCTTTACAAATTACTACATGAGAAGCACATGATACATCACTACTGTGCTTTCTTGCACTGGATGTTGAGGATTTGGGAAGCTGAATTAATGTCAACAAATGCCATATGCCAGCTGTAAAGGAGTAGAAAAATAGAAAGGAAGAACACCTTTTCAAGGAAAGGAAGTTTTCAAAATTAGCTAGTGTTTTGTTTTCAATTCGCTTAGCAACTCACAAGTATCATAAACACACAAGACATATGAGATTACTGACTGCTCTGAAGATGCCTATCAGTCAAATACAGTGGTTTTAATACTTCTTTTTGCTTAAAATCCAGTTATTTGTGTTGAAATATTTATCATACCTGGCAGCAAGGCAGTTGTGACAGGTACCAAGAGGAGAAGCAAATATTTCATTTTCTTGATCTACTTTTCTTCTTGTCATACTTGGGCTTATCAAACTCTCTCTGCCTACAACATACAAGATAATAATCAACACAACCTTACGGAACTAAAAGTAACAATTTTGATTTTGAAGTTTAAATAAAATCCTTAAAAAAAAAAATAATGCAATGTCTAATTTTTAGTTTAAAAAAATAAAACCAAAACACTACATTTTCCTCTAGTGTTTTGAATATGTTCAAACTCTATATCCAAACAATGCCAGACACATTTCAAATGCATAGCCAAAAATGCTCATTATGTCACTCTATTCATTCAGTATGTACATGTTTCAGTATACTTCCTTGGTATTATTTAAGTCACATATTACATTTCAGTTTTAGGCACAATACAGTATACTTTCTCGTCATTGCAGAAGTTATTCTTCAAGAAACTCAATACATGCAAACATGCATTTGTACCAGCTTTCCTTCAAATTTACTTAAGATATACCCTTCTTGATTTGAGTAAGCAGCATAAAGCAAAAATTATTTCTGGAACTATCACTGGAGGCACTGTCACTGATAGCAGTAGATATTTATATGCCATGTGTCTTCAGGCAAGAGCGCGTGCCCACCAAAGCAGCAGAATCCTCTGAACACTGAGCGAGCCCCACACACGAACAAGCAACTACTCAAAAGAATTCCTACTCAGAAGTTTCCAAAAAACTTCCATATCAGAAACGACACCTAAGTTTTTGCATTTCTCTCTGCTTCTGAGTTCCTGAGCCCATGTGCACAGCACAGCTGCATCTCAGTACCATACCAAGGTGAAATCCATCAGCTTCCATCCATGCTTTTGTTTTCACAAGAAAACCTAGGTATGAGCCAGGTGGCTGTAAGCAAGAAAACTAGATCTCAGGCCAGTCACAGGTAAACTTCAGTAATAGTCATTTTCCCTGCCCAAGGGAGTGTATACAGACATCCACATGCACAAACACAGAGCAAAAGTAACCATTCTGAAATAGAAGAATCATAAGGTTGCTTTGTTTGCAATTTATTAAATGCTACCAAGAATCCACTAGGGACTTAACATTAGAATTCCAAATAGCTAAATTCAGAAGAAACATGTTCTCAACTGAGAATAGGTTGAGCAGAAGTTCAGCAATAAACTTAAGAGAAATGAAGAGAGTCACAGTACTCTATGGAAGCAATGTTATAAAGTGTATTTGAACAGCAGCACAGTTCTACATCTTTAAAGACTTTTGTTTAGGATCTAAGAATGATTCTGATAATAAAGGGAGCCTTCTGTTTGTCTGTAACCTGTTAAGAAGAGCTTTTCTTACTGTTAGGAAGGCACGGCCACTGTAGATGTACAATCAGATACTGCAGGAACAGAGTTAAATATTGTTCCATCAAACAGATTCCTACATACAATTGTGCATACATTCCCCATAGAAAAGATTCTTCTTTCTGTCCAAAGAGGATAGGTGCTCTAGCTTGCAGGTACATCAAGAAGGAGCAGTGACACGCACTTGTATGACAAACTTGGGATTCATAAACAATGTAGTGAGAAGTACCTCATAAAAGTAGCAGAACTCGTCTCCAAATAGAAAAGTGTAACTTCTTTCCATGACTTACAGTTTTACTAACTCAAAGAACTTAGTGCTTTGAAATCTTTCTACGAAAGTTTGAGGAATGCCCTACAAATCACCTCGTAGTTCAGCGTGATAAGCATCATCCTCTCTTGAAAAGATTTTCAGAGATTTTAGATAAAACCAAAATCAGACCACTAAAAAAATTCACTCTAATTCTCAGTCACAAGGTTACATTCATATGTTCATATGCTTCCTGTATTAACAGTTTTTAGAGCATTAGGACTTGGACAACACCTCTTCTATAGGGAACTTTGCATGTACATTACCAGTTTATTGCAAGACTGAATTCATTATTAAGATTAATCCTGCATTTTTATAGGTGATCTTCAGAAGCCTACTAACATAATCTTTTTACTCATACAATTTCTGCAGTAGCGTTATCTATTACAGGAATATTCATTAGCTACCACAACAAAAAGGGAAAAAAATAAGAAAAAAAAAAAAAGAAGCCTCTTGCTTTTAAAGGGCACAAGCAGCCTTCAAGTACCACTTTAAAAAAAAATAAATAGAATTTACTCACTTGTTCCTATTTTTTTCTGATCCAGTTCTCTTCCAGGAGAATAAGGTGGCAATAGCATATCTTCTTCTTTAAAAATCAGTGGAGTTGATGCCAACTGACTGCATGTGGTGAGTTTTGCCCTTGGAGTTTTTAAACATGTTTGATCAAAGGGACTATCAAGTTCTCCTAACAATTTAGGCTCATATGAGGGTGCTTCTGCACTGAGTTCTTCAAACCAGTTGAGGCTGATAGGCCCTAAGTCTATGAAGAAAAACATACAAAAACCGCATTTAAAAAAAAACAACTTGCCAAATGGCATACAAATAACACATTACAAGTATGAGTTCATATGTTATTAAACCAGAACATAAAATAGAACTCTTCATTCTATATATAATACATGTAAGAGAAGACTGTAATTAGTTGTAAATTAACACAAAATTAATGCTCCGTGCAGGATGCAAAAACACATTAGGCATTTAAATGCTAGCAGCAAAACACATTGCTCCTTCCATTGCCATACTTCTGTTTATTTTGTTTCTAGATAGCTTTGAACTCTGATACTCACAAAGTATACAAGAAAGCCTGCCCAAATTCTCAGACCGTTAGCAAAACCAATCAGAGCAGATAAACATCCGGTTTGTTTAAAATTGAAACTATACACCTGACTTTTAGTTTATCTCTTATTTTACTCGGACTGGCAAGTTAAACAGGTTCCTTTTAACACTAATAAATCGTACAACTACAGGTGCATTTAGCAGAAGACTAAACCTCGCCGGCATGCAGGTACACAAGGAAGCCACAGCTAAAAGACAAAGTACAAAAAATAACAGAGCACACATTATGAAAAAAAGCTACAAGTAAAATTTAAACAGGTATTAAACAAAAAAGGTAGATATTAGCGAATACGGATTTGGGGCAAGTAGAGCTAATAACAAGTCGCATAACACTTTTATATGGAATATACAGCATACAGCAGATGTGTATAAAGTAGTAATGTCCAGAAAGCAACCGTAACAAAAGTTGTTTACTGTAGGGAAGCTGTACCTGATTCACTGCAACGTGCCTTAAATATTTCAAAGAAAGTCAATCTTTCCACAGGTTTGTAAGCCATTTTATGATCCATAACATTACTGGAAGAGTTGCTGAAAAACCTGAGAAGAAATAAGAAAACACCTTCATATAGCGCTGCTCTACTGTCATGGGGCTGCAAGTCTTCAAGCCAGCTTTCCTGTGTTTCTTGGTAGGTGTGTCATAACCCAACCTGTTTAGCTTTAGGATTGTGATGTGTGTGCTCAAACACTGCAGTGATGAACATGCTATAAAAACAACAGACGAGCATTGGGAATCATACCAGAGGTAATAAACATACTCAGCAAATACTGGAGAAAAATCAAGATTGAATGGGCAGAACACTTCTGAGGTATTTCAAACGCAAATAAAAAACCCACACTCGCTGCTGTATGCTAGAATACATATTACATATGAATTTTTACAATCATTACAACTTATGTGCGAGGAATTTGATTTAAAGTTGTTTTCAAGTGGAGCAGACATTGCCAGTTTCTCAGTTCTATTAAAAATTAGGCAGAAGTAAGATTGTGTTAAAATAAACACGAAATTTTCTATGGCATTGTTTCCACTGTAAGGTCAGTTTCCCACATGACAACTGTTTTACACACGCTGCCTTTCCAAAACGACAGGAAAGAGAGGCACTTGGAAAAAAGAGCAAAAGCTACCCTAAAACACAAAGTCAAGAAATTTAAAATTGCCTCAGAAATACATTTTAGAACGCGGAGCGACCTATCCACACTGCTGCCCGTTAGGGAAAGCTCCTTACCAGGCAACCACCGACCCACGCGGCGTTACCTGTGGAGCCGCCACCGAGTCACCCCTCAGAGCCCCAACCTCCCCCCCACACCCCCACACCCCCCACACACAGGGCCGCCACCCGCGAAAGGGCCGCTCCCAGGGCGGGGCAGAGCCACGCGCGGGGTGTTTACCTCCCTCCGGCCCCGCGGGGGCCGCAGCATCGCCTCACGCGTGGGGCAGGTGGGCCAGCGGCCGCCCCCGCCCAACGGCGCGCTCGCGCGGCTGCCCCCGCGCCGCCCCCGTTCAAAGCTTGGCGCCACGGCGCCGCCGCGCGCCTGCGCACTGAGGGCGGCGGCCGCCGCGCCCGCCCCCCCCCCTCAGCGAACCTCCCGCCTCAGGGGAGGAGGCGGCGTGAGGGGCCAGCGCCGCCCGCCCCCCTCAGCGGCGAAGGGGTGGGGGGGGGGTGGGGGTGTGTGGGTGTTTTTGGGTGACTGCTCTCCCTCCGTGGCTCGCCTCTCCCAGCGCAAAAAGGGAGCGTCCCGAGCCACGCGTCAGCCGCCGCCTTCTCTTGGATCTTCCCCATGTGCATGGGAAGTGAGGTGTCGCATCCAAGGTTGACAGACGGTCACTTCCTGTTGAAGGGCAGTCAACACCGATGTGGCAGAAAAAGGCCCCGCGGGGCTGACGGTGAGCAGCAGTACCGTGACGGGGTGTCATTGCCTGCGCATGACTCAACCACATCTTTTCAGGTGGTTTTGTCGGCCCTGACACAAATATTTATGGTGGTTGATACTATAATAAAGAGACTGTTACTATCCTCCACATACGTGTCCATTCCCATTTTGATAAGTTCTTGGTGTCTGCAATGAGTCCATAAAATAACTTCAAGCTGGGTGGAAAATTCTTCCTATTATCTAAATTTTGAGTTAGACATCTTTCATTTTAGCTGGGTGCTCATCTGCTCTGGTGTTACAAAGGGGTTTCTTCCTACCTCTCCAATCCTTATTTTACACAGTTTTGTCACACCACCAACTTGCTTATGTGTCACCTTCTTCAGTGTCTCTTCCTACAATAATTTTTCCATGTCCCTCCTCCTTATAAGGAACTTCTTTAACTTCTAATCCTGCAGTGTCCTGAGGAGGTGCAGTAACTGGTTCTTCACAAAGCATGACAGAGGAAGCCAGACTATTCTTTTGAATGATGGCGTGTAATTTCCAATTTAATCTCCATCCCCCTCCCAATTCACTCTAACAATTTACTCTTTTTCCAGGCACACTGAAGTTGTAAGTTTTAACTTGGTCATCTTGAGATTCTGTTTCTGCTTTGAGTTGATACAGACGGTGCTTTGAAAACCCAAGCATAATGTGAAGCCTTGAGCCATCTTTTAACCATGATGAGTGTGTGTTTCCTGAATCTTAGCCCTTTTTTGGTTCCATAAAAATGTTGTTTCTTACTGATTTATTTCAGACACTTGAAAGGATCTTTCTCAAATACTTCTGTGAACATTTGAAGACATCAGCCCTACCAGCTCTTCTCTAGCCCTTGTCGGTCCACTGAATTTTATAATGCAACACTTTTATAAATGTGGTGAGGAGTCATGCAAAGAAATTATTTCACATCACAGCAGGTCCAGGGATTTGGGGATTCTGCCGTCTCTAAAGCCTTACATACACAGTTTGGACTATTTAATGATACGATTTTAACTATATTACCTTACAAGTGAACTGAAGTGATGTAATTATGGGAGAAGCACTATCAGTCTAATATGTAAGTGCTTGTATTACCAGAATTTATTTCGTTATAGAGGTATTAAGCCACTTTTCCCAGTATAACTGTCTTCCATCCTGAATGTTGTACAAACTGAAGTATATTTATTCCATCTTTTCCTAAAACGATACAGTTGATAGAAAAGCTGCATGTAGGCAATCCCCACGTAATGGAGCAGTGGGGATGCTCAGACCTTTTAGTACAGATAAAGACTTCTTTTCAGAGGTGTAATTGCCTGCATTCCTTGCTCAATTGTCTGTGGGCTATCCAGTTTATCTGGCCTTTTGTTAGTTTCCCAACCTCCCCTTTTCCTTCTCAGACCATAAACAGAAGGAGTTGTGATCAAGCAGGCATCCCCTCGCTATGAAAGCCACGGTTGTCCCAACTATGGCTGAATTACATCTATTCATCTTCCCAGGGTCTTGCAGAGATGTGCTACTTTTTGAGCACTGATTACTTCTCAGGGTTTACACAGCTCTGTCAAGATCTTCTGCAATTTACAGCTACATAAATAACTGAGACTTTATTCAGCCTTGGATTTATTAGTGCATCTTCTAGCCCTGCAGCTGCATTTCCTGCCTGAAATCACAGATGAAGGCTGCCATGAGCAGAGGAAGCTGGCTGCGTGCACGTACACGGCTGCAGGCTGGCTCTGCACAGGCCTTGACCTTCTGCAGAGGTCCCAACGAGAGAAGGAAGGGAAATCCTGTGCGGGGTGGCCGGAACAGGGGCTCCGTGGTCTGCGTGCCCAGGCTTCCCACACCACGCGCCCAGAGACGTGGCGAGCGGCTGCGTGGTGCTGAGTTGCAGGCTGAGGTGAAACCACGACGCGCATCAACTCCTGTTCCAGCTCAGCCACCTGGAAAAAGCCTGCAGTGCTCCCTTTGCAATCAGTCCTTCCCCCTCCCTCCCCCAGCTAGCCTGGCTGGGGCCAATTTCCCATCAATTAGCAACAATTAGCAGCAGCTCTCCAGATAAGATAAAGGCAGGGCCGGGAGAGAGCTAGGGCTAACTTCTGTGGCTATCATCATGGAGGGCTTTGTCTGTCCTCCCTTCAGCATCTGCCAGAGCTTCAGGGGCAGCCTCACGCCCCGCCGCAGCGGGGACGCAGCGGTGAAGCAGCCCAGCTGGAAGCTGAGTAAGAGCAGCGCCATCAGCCCCTTCCTCGGGGGACCCCTCACCCCCATGCCCCCTGACTACCTGGACAGCTACCGCCGGGCCCAGCTCCAGGCCCTGCTGTCCCAGGTGAGCCCCGGGCCGACGCCGCGGCTCTGCCGGCCCAGCACCAAGGAGGTGGGGGTCCAGGTGAGCCTGCGGGCCGAGGCGGCCGTGCAGTGCTCGCTGGGGCCGCGCACGCTGCCCGTTGGCCACCCCTTTAGCCCCGCTGCCTTCCGCACCCAAGGGCACCTTGCCCTCTACTCGCCCATGCTGGACCGCCGCCTCTTCACGCTGCCTGAGGCCACCAGACCCCAGGAGAAGGCAAAGGCATCTGAAACAAGCCCTGAGGAGCAGAAGGCGGAGGATGGTAGCAGGGAGCAGCAGGAGGGCCTGGTGAAAGCTGTCCAGCCGACTGAGAAGGCAGCAGGGACCCCACAGGATGAGGCTGCAGCCCCCAGACCGAGGGCTGCCTTCCAGGTGTGCAGTGCTGGGATACTGGGGCTTGCGGAGAGTCAGGGACCCGGTGCAGCCTGCTCTGGGCAGGAGGGGGAGGGGGGCAAACCATGAAGCAGGTTGGAGAAAAATCTGCCCTTGGGCAGGAGAAGTCACAGTGGTCCTCACCCTGGCTTCCTGCTCGGGTCTGCACAGCCCCCTGCCCCGGGCTGGTAGTCCCCAGGCAGCTCTGACTCCCCGCCCCCAGTCAGTGGAGCCTCCTGCCCGTGGGGTGTAACGGGGGGCCTGGCCTGGCTGTTCCTGAGGTGCTGGAGGCTGCTCAGTGAACTTTCTCTCTGCAGTTTCTGGAGCAGAAGTATGGCTATTTCCACTGTAAAGACTGCAAGACCAGATGGGAGAGCGCTTACGTGTGGTGCATCTCTGGAAGCAACAAGGTAGTTTCAGGAGCAAGAAATTACTTGTTAAGAATGGCACCAAATCTGTGGCAAATCAGGTGCCGTGGCACAAATTCAGGTACCTGTACTGAACACTGAGTAAGTCTATAGTAACTGAGAACTTCCTTTTTTCAGGTGTACTTCAAGCAGCTCTGTCGTAAATGCCAAAAGGGCTTCAATCCCTATCGAGTGGAAGCAATCCAGTGCCAGGTAAGATACAGATTTCTGTATCCTGGTAAGACTGCCAGAGTTTGTCATATACTCTAGTAGCCTAGAGTTGCTGAGTTTGATACTGACTGCATCTGGAAAAGAGCTTGCTTTCATCAAAGTACTAAGAAATGTTATTTGGGAAAGGTGTAATGGGAGAGGAACTCCCTCTTCCTGCAGATGGCTTCCGTGAACAGTTTTCTGTTCGTATTGTGTTATGCCTAGCTACACGAAGGGCAGGGTTTTGTGCTTCCAGGTGAGAAGGCTCTTACTGCTTTACTCCCCAGGGTTTTTACTATAAGAGCTCTTAAGTGCATCAGCCCAAATGTGTTGCTGTGATTGAGGAAAACTAAATGTCAGTCTAATGGAGCGAGCACCTTTGATTTCCTACTAATAATATGTCTTGTTTCTTAAGACCTGTTCAAAGACCCGTTGTTCCTGCCCTCAGAAGAAAAGACACATTGATCTCAAGAGACCTCATCGCCAAGAACTTTGTGGCCGCTGCAAAGGCAAGAGGCTGTCCTGTGACAACACTTACAGCTTCAAATACATTGTCTGAGCTTTGTGCCCCCTTCTGCTTTGTGCTTTGCGCTCCGTCAGTCTCTTGCAATGTTTTGACTTTAGGCTTTTGACCTGGCATTGGATAATGGATAAAGACTTTTGTATTATTTATAAAGTATATAAGTTAATTGTATATATGCTGTGAATAAAGTACAATAAAATATGCACTACTTTGCTACCCCTTAGTTTCATCTTGCTGGGCTGAAAGGAAAGTGTATCTGTAAGGAAACAGAACCTGTTTGATTTCTTAAAGAAAATAGGTTTTGTTTTCAGTCTGTTTTTAGTGAAGGTTAAGATTAAAAATGTGATAGCAAGAGTCTCTTTCACTCAAACTGAACTACTGTGTAAGCTGCAGTTGTTCTGAAGCATAAACTCTGGGGTAAATGCATCTGCAAGTGTCTCTTCCCACTCCCTCTGTCAAATGTATATTAAAAAAAAATTGCAGCAGTTTGATAATCAGAGACTTGTGTGAGAAGACAGTAAGTTATGAGGGGAAAAAGGTAAGCTTCACATATTTTCCAGCTGAGGAGGGGAAAAACCTTTTGAGCTGGGATATCTGTGATGGAGTGTAACAAATTCTCTAGACTTCATGTGTCCCAAGAGAGGTAGAACAAGTCTGTGTTGCTGATTCAAATACAGGCTTGTGCCTCAAGCTTTCTAGTCATGTAAGGTATCTCCAGGCTCGGTGGCTTAAATATAACTGAAGGGAGTAACTGAATGTGCTTTCAGAGAGACAAAATGTAGTCAGGGGAATCCTAACTGAAGTACAGGTGTTGTAGAAGCACAGTGGGGCATTATTGCAGTTCATGTTGTCCTAGGATTTAAGTGAGGCTTTGTAGGGAATACACTGACTTCTACTCTACCTGAATTTCAGGAGTGTTGCTGAGAAAGCTAGATGGCTACATCTTGAGTTTTGTTGTATCTGTGAAGAATCACAGAAAACTTTAGGTTAGAAGGAACCTCTGGAGGTCTTCATGCTCAGTGGAGGACCCACCTCAAGGTAGGGGTTCATGGATTGTACTCTACCTGCAGGACAGTAACAAGGGGTATGCAGCAGGTGGTCTGTCCTGGGTCCTGTCCTGTTCAACGGCTTTACCAGTGACCTGGAAGAGGCAACAGAGTGCACTTGTCAAGTTTGCAGGTGACACCAAACCGGGGGGACCAGTCCACGGAGCCGAGGGCAGCGCTACCGTTTGGAGAGAGCTCAGCTGGCTGGCGGGGTGAGATTCAGCAGGGACAGGAGGAAATTCCTACCCCTGGCTGGGGAGGACCCTTTGCAGTGACACCGACAGGGGCCTGGCTGGGTTGGCAGCTCATCGGAAAATGCCCTTGGGGTTTGGTTGGCAGTGAGCTGGGTGTGGAGCCAGAAGTGGGCCCTGGCAGCGATGGGTGGCAACAACATCCACATCCTGGGCTGTATGAACGGAAAGGGAAGTGATTGCCCCGCTTTACTCAGCACTCTCTAGACCACATCTAGATTAGTGTATCTACTTCTGGGCTCCCTATATGAGAAAGATGTTGATCGGCTGTAAGGAGTTCAGTGGAGGCCACCAAGCTGGTCAGAGGGCTGGAGCCGTTGAAGGAATTAGACTTACTCAGTCTGAAGAAGCAAAGGCTTCAGGGGGCTCGAGCAGTAGGCTGCCAGGTTACGGTTATTCGGGAAAGATGGAGCCAGGCCCTTCAATGTGGCTCATGGTAGTGGGCTGAGAGACAACGTACATAAAATAAAACAAGATAGGTTCAGACTGGATAAAGGAAAAGCTTTCCCATCATGAGAACAGTCAAGTAAAACAGGTCGTTCAGGAAGGCTGTGCACTCCCCATCCTTGAATGTTTTCAAGACCCAGCTGGATAAAGGCCTGAGTAACCTAATCTCATGGCTGACCCTGCTTCAAAGTGGAGATGGGACTAGGTGACCTCCTCAGGTCCCTTCCAACCTGAATTTTCCTGTGATGCTGTGTTCTGTAAAATATCCATGATTTTGCCAAGTAATGGAGCAGATCTCAACTTTCAACGCTTAACATTTTTGCAGACCACCCCAATTACAGTTTGGAAAAGCTGTCAAAAGTAAAATCCATAACTGAAATTTGAAGACTTCTCTAACCATTACGGATTATTTTACTCAGAAAAATAGCTGTGTGATTTGCCTTGCATCTACTTTGTCCTGCAACTACAACTGTGCTGCAGAGCTCTGTGGACTGTAAAATCAGAAAGCCTGTAAAAGAAGTCGATTCCACTCCTTTTATGCATCAATACAAGTATTTTTCAAGATCCACGTAAAATTGTGCAAGCATGCTGAAAATGAAAAAGGAGTGAAGGGAGAGGGCTTTACAGGATTCTCAGAGCCGAGGCTGCTACGACAGGCCGGACAGCTTTTCTCTTACCTTTAGCATGAGAAAAAAACCCACTGAAACCTAACGCTGGGCCGAATAGGACCATTACTGATGTTTTTAACAGAAACAAACCTTCACCTCCATTTTGGACTTTTTTCAGTTATGAAACTGCTTTAGTCAACATACTCTTCCTGGTTGAGTTGTAACTACTGACTGACAAAAAAAATCCTTACATTCTCACTGGTTTCTTTCAGTGCAACGAATGGTTTCACCATAAACGATGAAAAAGGAATCTTTTGGGGACTGCTGAGCGTGGATACCATCTGCAACAGTATAGATTTAGACAAGAACACAATCTTCGCTACAAGCACATACTCTGTTGTGATTATATATGACTTTTATATTTTAGTTAAATGGATGTACTGATCCAAATATCAACCAAAGTTACTTCACAAAAACGGTAAGTGTATTTACAGAGTGAATAAGTTACACAGTTGTCAGAATAAAAGTGTCTCAGATGTGCAACAGATTTACATGCATACATTTAACACTGGACAGCAGTTAAATGTAAGAAAAAAACCATACAGGTATGACTGTTATATATACATTACAAATAAAATAAGACATCTTTTTAAAGAAACTTAACATGAGAACTTGCATTTCACGTTAATATTTTTACTTTTTATACTCAAAATTTCTATTAAATAAAAATATGCATGCATAACAGTTCAAAAGATTTGACTCTGTGATGAGACTTTCTCCTACAAAATGGCAAGTTAAATTAGATCAACCATCCTTTAATAGTATAAATATATTCATAAAAGCAACCCTCTAGTAAAAAGCAGCCAAGGTCCTTTTAAAAAAAAAAAAAAAAAAAGGAAAATCTACCAAGACCATTCATGATACTTGGGGGGGCCTAAGAACAGACCTCTGCGATATGATCCAGTACCTTCAGAGACAGTAGCCTAGTAACATTAGGAAATGTACTTCATAGCAGCTCGTTGTTTTAAGATACAGTAATCATATTCAAATTACAGTGTACATTAAACTGTAGTCCATTTACAATTTGTTTCATACACACAGGCTCTCAGCTTTTGACCAACAAGTTTGCGAGATTCTGTGGCCAGCTTCATTCTGCCCATCTTTCACTTAACCAAATAAGAGAAAAAAGGAAAAAATGTACAAGTTTTTGTTTTTTTTTTTTTTTAACAAAAAATATTATTTCGTGAAGGAAACATTGCACTTTCGCCAACCTAAAATTAATTTGCTATAAAGGAAGTATTGTTCAGTGTAGTAGGCTTTGGTATGCAATGGAAGTCACTTCTTCAGTAGTGAGTTGCAGTTGCTCAGTGAAATGCTAACTGATTTTTGTGCAACAGAGAACAAAGGATGTTGTCCCGGATGCTCTATGCTACCTTTGTCCTTACAGTATTGCTACACATTTGAAGTTCCGCCCGTATCTTTTTAGAAGAAATCTTAAATGTAACAAGTGTGAGTACAGTTTGACCAAACCTTTGTAAGGCTGAGAAGACCTTGAGCCACCTCACTCCAGCAGGGCAGCACTCCCAGCTTGGAAGAGGACCCAAGAGTCCTGTCAGAGACTTGTGCCGGAAATGCTGGAGTCTGGAAGAAAAGTATTGATGACCCGGTAACTCTGGGCTCTGCGAATCATGTCGCGGATCTCTATATTCAGTTCCATTAATTTGGTACAGATTTCAGTCAGGCTCTGGTTGGAGCCCACCAGTGCATAGGTGCCCGTCTGACCCAAGGTTTGGTGCCGGAAGTAAATGTTCAGTAGTGTCTGGACTTCATCGTCAGAGCTACTTCCAAAGATATCATTGGGCCACAAAATCCTGCAACCAAACAGGAGAAGAATGTGTGTATCAGTATGGGTTTATTAGCACAGACGGAAACTAGGTGGTAGAGATCTCTAAAAGGAGAACTGACTCACACACGGTTAGAAGCCAAAAGCAACTCACTGGTTTATGCTACTCACTCGTTACTCAGACTCTGGCATCAGGCACTAAAATTGCATAAAAGCGCAATTTCTATTATCTTAAAAAAAAACAAAAAAAAAACTTAAGAAAACTCATTCAAATAAGTGAAACTGGGCTGAATGTTCGCTGCTGCCAGTGACATACACCTGTGAGGAACTGGCTCTTTAAAAAGATTCTGAAGAGCCTCGCAGAAGTCCTTTCGATCTACGCAACGTAATTAAACATCTTAATTGTTGCAAGCATACACGTGTGTACTACTGATTTGATAGGGTTACTTGTGGCACACCCCTGCAGAAGTTAATGACACCAATGCCCCCATGTACACTGCTGAAACCTATTAAATTAATTACGCTGACTCAGCACATTACATTTAGTATAAAATCAGGAAGATAATAACTGCATACTTTTCCAGTAACGTGAAAGACTAATATGAGCCATGTAGCAAAACTTGCCTGCATTCTCTTATTTGCCGGACGGCTTTAACAAGTTCATTGTTTTTCAGACACTCCAGCATGGACTGAATAGCTGCTTCCGTAGAGTTGAACGTGGGCTCAGATTCCACCGTCGGAGGTTCAGCTGCGATTGCAGCAGTAGCATCCTTAAGATTTTTCTTCAGCTCGCTCAGTTCTCTTGACATGTTTAACAGCTGTTCCAAGGAGAAAGATGAGA